GAGCCTCCGGAAAAGGGCGCTTTTTCCGGAGGATCGGGGCCAGTCTAGACGCTCTTTTCCGGCTTTTTTAAAAGCCGGAAAAAAGCGGCGGACATTTTTATTTAAATGCCGCGGGGGATATTTAAATCCCCCGCGGATTTCCCTACGACGACTAGTGAAATTTACATGCCCCTTCCGGAAAAGGGGCCAGTGTAGACGTAGCCATGTAGTTTAGACATACCCTGGGATGGGTAGGAATGGTGTCCCTAGCCTCTGTCAGAGACTGGAAATGGGTGACAGGAGAGGGATCCCTTGATGATTCCCTGTTCTGTTCACTCCCTCTGGGGCATCTGGCATTGATCACTATCGGCACACAGGATACTGAGCTAGATGGACCTTTAATGTGACCCATTATGGCCATTCTTGTGTTCTTATGTTCTTAAATAAATTACTAAACTTCCCCTTAGTGGCACAGCCATCTCTGGCAGCTCCACAAGTGACTGCTGGAGGAGTGGTAATGTCCCTTGGCTGGTCTCCAGCTCACTTGGTTCCCTGCAGCCTGAGCTTTGAGCCTTGGAACCTTTGCACCACAAAAGAGAGGTGGCACCTCCCAGGGGATGGATGCTCCTGAAGCCAAGACAGTGAGGCCCCAGTTTGCAGCATAGTAAGCATAAAGCCTGAGGTACCCTGGGCCACAGAGCCTCTGCACTTCCCCCACTGCAAACCCAGTCTGAGATGGGCTCCAGGGCATAGGTGGGCCTTCTGGAGGTGATGTAGTCTAGGCAGTCCTGCACACCAGCTATTCTTCTGCAACCACAAAGCACACGGTAAAAGCTTTTCAAGCTGGCTAAACCTCCTTCCAGTAGCCAAGCTCAGCCAAACACAAGCCATTTCCCATTCCCTGTGCTGGTCTCTGCATAGATGAACCAACAAACTGGGGCATCAGACTCCTCAGGTTCACTGACCATCCCTCTGTTTGCTGGCTGAACTTCCAAAGTCCTGTCCCAGCATTCACTGGGCTCAGTTAAAACCTGGGAAAGAAACTCTGGGTTAGTCTCTGATTGCTTCAGAGTCCTGGCCAGAAACACGCAGGGAGCATTCCCAGGACACTGTTAGCAATTTGTGTGAACGGCTGTATCTTGAGGAGAGATTCTCCCAAATATCAGAGGTTGCTGCTTGTGAGAGCAGAGGCCAGCAGAATTAATCACAGGTCACTTAATTCCCCTTCTCTACCATATTTACACTCCTCCTCCCCGCAATCTTAACAACATCTGCACAGGCCTTGACACTAAGTTCACTGCTCAGCAGTCACCAACATGGCACACAGAGCCAGACTCTTAGTTGAAGTCCCCCATTACCACCAAAACTTTTGCTTTGGATGATTTTGTTAGTTGTTTAAAAATAGCCTCATCCACCTCTTCTGTCTGGCTAGGTGGTCTGTAGTAGACCCCCTCGAATGACATCTCCCTCGTTTTTACTCTTTTTAACCTAACCAAGAGACTCTCAACAAGTCTGTCTTCTATGTCCATCGTCACCTCAGTCCAAGTATATAGTTTTTTTAATATATAAGGCAACACCTCCTCCTTTTTTTTCCCTACCTATCCTTCCTAAGCAAGATGTACCTGTCTATACCACTATTCCAATCATGTGTATTATCCCACCTAGTCTCTGTGGGTATGTCTACACTACCCCGCTATTTCGAACTAGCGGGGTAATGTAGGCATACCGCACTTGCAAATGAAGCCCGGGATTTGAATTTCCCGGGCTTCATTTGCATAAGCCGGGCGCCGCCATTTTTAAATCCCGGCTGGTTCGAACCCCGTGCCGCGCGGCTACACGCGGCACAAACTAGGTAGTTCGGACTAGGCTTCCTAGTTCGAACTACCGTTACTCCTCATTCCACAAGGGTTCGAACCAGCCGGGATTTAAAAATGGCGGTGCCTGGCTTATGCAAATGAAGCCCGGGAAATTCAAATCCCGGGCTTCATTTGCAATTGTGGTATGCCTACATTACCCTCCTATTTTGAAATAGGAGGGTAGTGTAGTCATACCCTGTGATACCTGCTATGTCACAGTTGTGTTTATTTATTAGCACTTCAAGTGCTTCCTGCTTATGCCCCATACCTCTTGCATTTGTATACAGGCATCTAAGATATTAATTTGATATTGCCCCCCAGCTCTGCCTTGTCTCTCCTTTATCTCTGCTATTATAGCCCATTTAGCTAACATTCTTCAGGGTGTATGCCCCCTGTACTCTAAGATGATGTTAACAGACATTCCTGCACGATTAACCTTGTCTATACTTTTAATCCAAAAGATGTGATCACACGAGACCCTTCAGCTATAGAATCTCCAGCATCTTTTTCTGCAGGGTCTCTAGATTTCTCTATTTTACAATATGTTGAATGAAGAGAGCATGAAACAACCTGGATTTTGTTTTCCATTGGCATTTGGTTCATGTCACAAGAACTAATTCTAAGACAACTTGCTGGGCCTTCCTGTGCAATAACATTTTGCACATCATATATGGTCATTTGAAATTGATAATTTAAAGTAAGTCATGCAGATTCAGTGAAACAATTAGGTACCTAAATCATTATTATGGAGTTGTAGTCATTCCATCAAGGTGAGAGTTCTTTTTTTTTCCGCTTAAAGCCAGGATTCAGTCTCTTTGTTTTATATAAAGAATACAGTGCACCTTCCCCCAAATTTTCCATACATAATCTGTTCAGTGATGCTAAGTTTTCTATGAATTTAGAAATATGTATCAGTTTGAGTTATAATTATTCAAATGTCAGCCATTTAAGAAAGCTTAGATTTTGTGTCTCATTTTTTTCAGCTCAGTCTTGGCAAAAGGAATGATTTTTGACACTGAACATTGACCTATTTGTACATTTTAGCAGCATTGAAGAAAATGGATACTTTAAAAGTTTCTTATTTTATTTCTGATTTATTGAAAATATGCAATGTTTTTATCCATCACAATGTTAGTTTTGCTTCAAAGGAATACTCTTGAATCTCAGTTTTCATTTTCTAAAAAAAGAGAGATGTTCTTATTTCCTATGGTTGCTAATAAAATCTTCAAGACGAAGTGTTTTAGTCACTGGTGAGGAACATTACATCTTTTATTCACCATCTAGCAGTGGCTCCCTTTCACAAAAAACAGGATCTCATTAAAAATGCCCAAGAACCACTATGTAGCTGGGGATCCTTTCTAATATTAAAAAGCCAGGGAAATTCTTATACAAGATCATTATGATGTGTAGCAGTAAAGGCTCTGTGTGTGAGTGTGTTTTCACCAAACTGCAGAAGTGATACTGGAGTACATGTGGGTAGGCAGGAGTCTGATGTTTGTGGTTTGTGGAACGTTTAAGAAAGGGGGAAATGGAAGACTGCTTATTGGGGCAGAGATAAGATTGCGGTGCAAGATCACATGATGATTATTTCAGAAGTGGGTGTCTCTTCTTGGATGGAAGAGTTGAAGGCATTCATTGTCAGATGCCTTAAAATTTTGTGTCCTTTGTGACCTTTTATGAGGTCTTATGTCATGTATATTTAACTGATGCACAGTGTATAGTTATGTATGAATTTATATGGAGGTAGTAACCAAAATATTCTACACATTTTCCAAACATCATAAGACGACATAATTCTTGTTCTTAAGAACTTAAATATCATTAAAGAAGGTGAAATATGGGGGAAAGGAGGCATCCCACACACAATAGGACAGGCTTGGTATTTAATTTTGTTGGTTTGCTTGTTTGTCTTTGTTTTGTTAAGTTATGGGGGTAGAGGTGGGATACAGGGAATGACATGCGAGAACTAAGGGCAAATAATAATTGAAAAAAGAAAGGAAGGTAAAGAGAGCTCCACAATTCATCTGCGTGCTCCATAGGATCAGCATCAAACTTCCTGCAGATTGGCTTAATTAAACATATATAAGTGACAGCCTGACACAAACTCTAAACTCAAACCTTCTGCCCCCTAGTCTGACTGTTCCTTGAGGACTCCTGAACATCCAGTAACTTGCTCTTTGTAATTGTGGGTGACACCACACTATAAAAATGTGTACACTACATGCTATGTTGTGTACAGATCCTAGGCCTACACTGCCCAGAGTACCACTCTCACCTCCTCATTTCCCAAGTAGTGTTAAGAGGCCCGCTTCCTGATTGTCAGCAAGAATTAATCAGAATCTCTGCAGGGTTCCAATATCTACCAACAGAATGGATCAAACCCCCTCTCTCACTGTATTATCGTATACAAGAGAACTAATATGGAACAGTACCTATTTCCATGCATGTATACCGCTGGAAATTATGGAGAGAAGATTTACTAACCTATGTTTAACCCAAGTATCTGACTCATTGGCTTTTTCAGTGTAGTTTTCAGGAAGAAATCCTCTGCAGCCAGTCCGGTGTGAAGTACCAATCACCCAGCCATCACTAACATCGAATTGTTGTGATCGGTCAACATATATCAAATCCCCAGCATTCAGCATTAGTTCATCAATGTTCTGAGGCTTGTATTGGAAAAGTGCTCGCAAGATCTGGCAGGGGATTAAAAAAGAAACAACTTCAAATGCATATCAGATCTCATGTCCAGAATATTTATGTTATAACTAATGGAGCATTTCAGAGAATTGCTGCTTAACTATGTACCACAAATTGTTTCTCTTTGTGTGTGTGTGTGGTAGCTTATACTCTAATGACATTTTCCTTTGTCATATAGAGAAAGAGTGCAGTGGGCTCTTACAATATATATACAAATAGAGATTAGATCAATAAAATCTTATTTTGTGTAACAAATGTAGAATAGTTTTTAAAAAGACAAATATTTGCAGGTATGTTTTCCATAGTTTACAATTATCTGGCATATAACTTGACTATGATTGTGAGATGCTACCATAATTCAAATAATAAATAATAATAGGTTGTACTGATCTGGCTGAAAAATGGTGAAAATGCCATGAAAGCATTTCGATTTTTTTTAATGAAAAAACTTAAGTTGAAAAATGTTGACCCAATTCTAATAAAGAATCCTTTGAGTAGAAGGATCATTATGAGCGTAGTCATGTCCTATATTAGGGTCTTCAGCTGTTACAGACTCCAAGGTAGGTATGTTTTTATTGTTGTGCAGTGATATTGCCTTCTTCTTGCTTATTTTCATATGCCATAAAAGACTAAAATGAAATTTTCCTGTGTAAGTTTGGAATTAGATCTGACTGGTGTGTATATCAAGGTGCCATACAATGCCACATGGTTATCTTCCACTGATTTCAGAATACAAATTTTCAGCCAAAAGAAGCACCTTGCATTGTAATGTATACTGAAACTATGAATTATGCACACATATATATTTTCATAAATTAAAAAACAAATCTGCTTTAGAAATACTTTGAAATACATGACAACAGAGAACTAAGTAATGTTGAATGTTGTACCTGGTAATTTACAAAGCGCATATCTCTAGAATACAGAGCAGCTGTCCACAGGCAGTTCTGTCCAGGGTTGATAGATTTGGCCAATTGTTCCAAAGTCTTTTGATGGTGAGGATAAAATTTATGAGCCAGAGTAAGATGCAGCTGCTTTGTGCAGGGTTTTATATGGCAATCTAGGAATAAAATCAGAATCCTATAAGATCACAAAATGAAGTGATGTTTATCTAGACTGTTTATTTACTACCTCAAGGCAGAATTTTATTCCACAGGCTTCTGCACAGCACATGAAGCAACGTAGCAATCAAAGGCAATCTGTCAGACTCTCATTCTGTTTCCAAGTGAACATTCTTAATGCGGTGAGTGCACAGTTTACCCTTGCTATAAAAGAAAGTTATTTCATTTCTTGCTGGTTCACTTAATAAACACTCCCTTATTTTTGTCCATAAAACATTACTTCTCAGAAGTGAAAGTACCATCCACCAAATCCCGGTGCTAACCATCGGTTGGTGCTCAGTCCACTGGGGCTTTGCAGTTGCATATAACTCAGTGGAGGTACTACCTCTCTCTGATGCAGCTGCATAGTGTCTATGCTCCATAGCCACATGTCCCCACCACAAAGTCCTTTGCACACTTGACTCCTCTCCATTCCCTGCAAATGCCCTGCCATATACAGAAACCAGGGTTCTGAAGGATGACATGACATGGAGAGGCAGTGCCTCACAACTGAAGCAGTGGCCTGAGTGTAAGGAGGAGGTGGCATTACAGAGTGTAGAGAATGAATGGGATACGTGGTCAAGAAGGAAGTGCTTAGATAATGGCTTTGAAATAGGGGCCCCTCCACAGTCCAACTGTCTCCTTTCCATGAGGAGATAGTTTTGGGCTTAAGGATTCCAACCATCTATTTCCTCTCCTCACACAGGAGCAGCACTGGTTGCCTGTAGCCCTAGACCTCCAGGAACCACTGTAATCTCAGGGGCTGGAGAGAGGAGGTCGGGATCGATGGAAATTGCTTGGCGGGAAATGCATGGCTCCTATCAGCAGATCACTTGAATGCTGATGTGATGAGTGCTGAAGAAAACTCTAAAACAGACAGATATATAGATTGATTCCCCCCTTTGACCTCTTTTGTATCAAGCCTTACAACACCAACGCACTACCAGACCAGTTTTTGTTTTTTAAGTTTAATCTGGTTATTGTTAGGCTATCTATGCTCATCACTGTAGCATCCAAGCAATCCCAGACCTGCATGGCAAAGTCCTTAGTTGACTTTGCAGAGTCTTTGGTTCTTCTGCCTTCTTCAGCATAAGAAACCTTGCTTAGAATATATCCCTCTTTTCCTCTTATTCCAGTGTAAAATGGGCCCCACAAATGATTAAATGTAATTTTTGGCATTCTTAGCAATATTTGTCAACTTGATCAGTGACATAAATGAAGTCAACACTATCTCAGTGTGTCATATCTCAGACAAGCAGTTGCCAAGGATCACCTGAAGCACAGGTCCCTGAAGGGAAACCATGAGAGCTGAATAGTCCATGCGGGCACTGCAGTAACTCCAGACATTCACAGCTCTGTCTGGGTGCCCATTGTTCTTCCTGCTTCCCTTCTTCACCGCATGACTTGTCACCACAACATCACCAAAAGCAAAAGGGGCTCATCACCTTCCCAGTGCTGTAACTGAAGTACAGAGCCAGAGGATCTGATACAATAAGGTTTTGGTTGATGGATTCCTTCTGGACTTGTTTTCTCTTGAATTTCCTCTCTTCCTCATCCATGATCATAAATCTCACCATTGTCCTAAACTATGAGCCAGGCATCAAGTTTAAGGGTAGTAAAGTTTTATATTTTCTTCCCATTTCCATTTTGGAGGCTAAGAACATTAATGTTTTACATTACGCTTCTAATGTATACATGAATTTATTTAAAAAACAACAAAACAAAACAAAGAAAACCCAACCCTTGACCAGAAACTGCAGTTTAGCAATGCAGCACTGAACAAACATCAAGCCAGCCTCAGAAACAATGGAGATGACCACAGTTAAGTGCCAAAATAGACACATATACATGGTAAGGGATTTTCCAGATAATTCTACCCAGTAATTGCCTAAAACATTTTTACTAAGTGAAGGCTTTGCTTAGATTTCTTAAAAATAATTAGAACACTATGAACTGTTTTTTTTATGAACTGCCATTTTATACAGATAGCTTCCAGGAAAAGAGATCTCTTAGGCTGATACGTTGTCTTGGTTGTATTGAGTAAGTGAGAAAGCAGCACTCAACTCTTCTCAACCCCTCAATTTCCCCAGGCATGACTGTTTCAAAACTCTGGGGCAGGATGGTTGCATTAAGCTAATAATAGAATCTGATCTGAGTCCCATAAGAAATTCAGGAGAGTCTTAAATTAGGACAATTTCCAAATGACATTGATGGTACCTGCCAAGATCGAAGCCTCAGTAGCAAAAGCCACAGCAAACTCTTTGATGACATTTGCATGGGCATCATTAATGAAGAAACCAAGGTAGCTGACAGATGAATGTAGTGATAGAGAAATGACTGGTGGGAACCAATTTAAAAACCTGTCACCAACTTTCTTTAGGGCTTCATGCAGGAATTCCACTTTCTGGTCTTCACACTAAAAGAAAACATATGAGGAGTATGCATTACAAACTGCCAGGGCACCCACTGCCTCATAAACAACTCCTATTGGAAGGTATCTAGGTCATAAAACCACTACCATAATTCAGTACTGAGTGGCACTCTGCCTGGCACTAAGAGCAGAAAGAACAAGTACTGAATATTCATAGAGATTAAATTATTCCCTTATCCCTTGAAATATTCCACCTAGAACAGGATTGAGATACATTCTATGGAAGCTTGAAAATGATGCTGACTATGTATCGTTTCTGTGGTCAATTCAGACTTTTACATTTGACACCTTTCATGAGCACTACATTCATTTCAAATTCATAAATGTTATTTTCCTATAAATGCCATCAATAACCAACTCATAGCACAGTATCTGACACTTTCCTATGAAATTTGTTCTCTTTATTTTGTAATCTCAGCAGCATTAGAGAGTATGAAAGCATTATGAATATAGTTTGTTTGTCCAACTGCTCCACCACTGCCCTTTCCATGTTATTTCTATAGATCTCTGAAGAAGCTAATGGTGAAGTGCTGCAAGGATGCTAATGTGCAACTTTGCCAGCAATGAAGGAGACTTTCAAAAGTCTCTAAAACCTGTACAGATCAATATAGTTTTAGTGATACCTCTAATATTCCTCTGTTGGAGTTTACACATTGATCCTTTTAGAGTGGAGGGGAGGCAGTACCTCACTATGCTGTTTAAGCCTCATTCTGTAGAGAGCATCCCGATAGTCATAGCGGAGGTTATTTAGAATATACTGTCTTTGCATTTAGTAAAAACCCTGCTCAGAGGTCAAATTTTCAAAAGTACCCAAGTTAATTAGGAGCCTAAGCCTCATTTTCAAAACTGACTTAGGTAGTAGGGATTTTAAATCCCATTGATTTTTCAGTTAGACTTAAGCACCTAACAGTCATACAGCAAGACACACAGTAGATAATATGGGCACTGTAGATAACTAGTATTGACACACTGAATTACACTGAAGCAGAAAACAATTGACTGTGCATATGTAATTATTGCAACTAACTAACATGCAGTACAGTTACTGCATAAAAACTCAGTGTAAAATCATCCCTGAGTGCAGACAAGGCTTTACAAAATAATCCCTGTGTGTAGACAAAGCTTTACAAAACCATGTAAGTGAATTTCCTACCTAAAAGCTTTTGAAGATCCCCCGGGCACCTATCTGCATCTTTAGACACATAGGGTGAGTCTAAACTACATGGCTCCGTCGATGGAGCCATGTAGATTAGGCTGATCAAAGGCCTGCCGCGCTGAGCCGACAAACAGCTGATCAGCTGTTTGTCAACTCAGCGCGCTAGTCTGGACGCTCCCCCTGACCTGAAAGCCCTTTATCGACCTCCCTGTTATGCCATGTAGGATGAGGTTTACTGGGGAGGTCAATAAAGGGCTTTCATGTCGACAGGGGAGTGTCCAGACTGCCCCGATCTGCCGACAAAAAAGCTGATCAGCAGAGCGAGGCAGCCATTTAAATTTAAATGAAGCCGCGATTATTTAAATCGCAGATTCATTTCCCTTTGCCGAACAAACAAATCTACATGGCTCCGTTGATGGAGCCATGTACTCTAGACGTACCCTTAAATATGTACATCTGTCTCTAAACTACTTATTTTCAAAAGTTTCAAAGTGATAGCCATGTTAGTCTATTAGGGTACGTCTAGACTACAGGCTTCTGTCGACAGAAGTTTTGTCGACAGATACTGTTGACAAAACTTCTGTCGACAAAGAGCGTCTAGACTACATTGAGTTCTGTCGACAAAGCAAGCTGCTTTGTCGACATGGTAGTGTAGACGCAAAGGACAGTTTACATGCAATAACACCTTCTGTCGACAGAAACTCTGTCGACAGAAGGCGTTATGCCTCCTAAAATGAGGTTTACCAGCATCGACAAAACTGCTGAGTTCTGTTGACGTTATGTCGACAGAACTCAGCGGTAGTGTAGATGCAGGTATAGTTTTGTCGACAAAAGTCCACTTTTGTTGACAAAACTCTGTAGTCTAGACACATCCTAAATGTCTACACAGCAGCGTTATTTCAGAATAATTGACGTTATTTCAAAATTACAAAGAGCGTATCTATACAGTAAGCTATTATTTCAAAATAATGTCGAGCTGGAGGACTTCTTACTCTGACTCCTGTTACCCTCATTTCACGAGGTGTAAGAGAAGTTGAAAGAAGAGTGCTTTTCCTTAGACAGCACCAAAAGACTAATTAAGCTATTTTGACTTCAGCTATGTAATTGATGTAACTGAAGTTTTGCTCTGCTGTGTAGACATGTCCTAAACTGTAAAAACAAAAAATACTCCTGTGGTACCTTAGGGTATGTCTACACTACAAAGTTAATTCGAACTAACGTCCATTAGTTCGAATTAACTTTGTAGTGTAGACATACCCTTAGAGACTAACAAAAATATATAGGATCATGAGCTTTCATGGGTAAGACCACTTCATCAGATGGGTCTCGCCCACGAAAGCTCATGATCCTATATATTTTTGTTAGTCTCTAAGGGTATGTCTACACTACAAAGTTAATTCGAACTAACGTCCATTAGTTCGAATTAACTTTGTAGTGTAGACATACCCTTAGAGACTAACAAAAATATATAGGATCATGAGCTTTCATGGGTAAGACCACTTCATCAGATGGGTCTCGCCCACGAAAGCTCATGATCCTATATATTTTTGTTAGTCTCTAAGGGTATGTCTACACTACAAAGTTAATTCGAACTAACGTCCATTAGTTCGAATTAACTTTGTAGTGTAGACATACCCTTAGAGACTAACAAAAATATATAGGATCATGAGCTTTCATGGGTAAGACCACTTCATCAGATGGGTCTCGCCCACGAAAGCTCATGATCCTATATATTTTTGTTAGTCTCTAAGGGTATGTCTACACTACAAAGTTAATTCGAACTAACGTCCATTAGTTCGAATTAACTTTGTAGTGTAGACATACCCTTAGAGACTAACAAAAATATATAGGATCATGAGCTTTCATGGGTAAGACCACTTCATCAGATGGGTCTCGCCCACGAAAGCTCATGATCCTATATATTTTTGTTAGTCTCTAAGGGTATGTCTACACTACAAAGTTAATTCGAACTAACGTCCATTAGTTCGAATTAACTTTGTAGTGTAGACATACCCTTAGAGACTAACAAAAATATATAGGATCATGAGCTTTCATGGGTAAGACCACTTCATCAGATGGGTCTCGCCCACGAAAGCTCATGATCCTATATATTTTTGTTAGTCTCTAAGGGTATGTCTACACTACAAAGTTAATTCGAACTAACGTCCATTAGTTCGAATTAACTTTGTAGTGTAGACATACCCTTAGAGACTAACAAAAATATATAGGATCATGAGCTTTCATGGGTAAGACCACTTCATCAGATGGGTCTCGCCCACGAAAGCTCATGATCCTATATATTTTTGTTAGTCTCTAAGGGTATGTCTACACTACAAAGTTAATTCGAACTAACGTCCATTAGTTCGAATTAACTTTGTAGTGTAGACATACCCTTAGAGACTAACAAAAATATATAGGATCATGAGCTTTCATGGGTAAGACCACTTCATCAGATGGGTCTCGCCCACGAAAGCTCATGATCCTATATATTTTTGTTAGTCTCTAAGGGTATGTCTACACTACAAAGTTAATTCGAACTAACGTCCATTAGTTCGAATTAACTTTGTAGTGTAGACATACCCTTAGAGACTAACAAAAATATATAGGATCATGAGCTTTCATGGGTAAGACCACTTCATCAGATGGGTCTCGCCCACGAAAGCTCATGATCCTATATATTTTTGTTAGTCTCTAAGGGTATGTCTACACTACAAAGTTAATTCGAACTAACGTCCATTAGTTCGAATTAACTTTGTAGTGTAGACATACCCTTAGAGACTAACAAAAATATATAGGATCATGAGCTTTCGTGGGCAAGACCCATCTGATGAAGTGGTCTTACCCATGAAAGCTCATGATCCTATATATTTTTGTTAGTCTCTTCGGGCTACGTCTAAACTACACCCCTCTGTCGGCAGAGGGATGTAAATGAAGCACTTTGAAAATGCAAATGAAGCAGGGATTTAAATATCCCGAGCTTCATTTGCATAATCACGTCATGGCGCTGTTTCAAACAAGCACCATTTCGAAACTGAAACCACAGTTTAGACATGGGTTTTATTGACAACAGGGCGCCTTTTTGAAAGATCTTATACTCCTCTTTTTTTGAGGGGTGTATTTTAGACATAGCCTAAGGTGCCACAGGATTACCCATTGTTTTGACAATAAGATTTAGGTTCCTACGTTATTTACATACTTTTGACTACTTTGCCCCATGGCAATATTAAGGTATAGAACATGAGCTGCTATGGGCAGGACTGCAAATGCAGCACCAGACAAAGCAGGAAGAAAAAGCAGACAACCAATTTTATTTCCATTGCTATTTTTAGTATGTGGAACTTTCTCAACAGTGAACTTAGCGCAGTTACTATTCTTCCAATCAGCATCCAGAACCAGTGTGAAACAAATGCACAGAGGATGTTATATAGATAATGTATCTGAGGGTTTGCTTTTCTCCGCATTCTACATATGGAACTGCTTACCTAATTTGCATGCTCAGAAAGCAAAATTAGATACTACTGACTACTTGCAAGACAAGTTTAAATGATCGGACCACAAAAAAGTCTATGTCCAGCCACTCTGCTCTCATGAAACGTGAAAATCTTCCTCTAATTCCTACGTCTAGTCCATAACATTTTTTTGGTTCATCATATTTCAGTGTCCACCATCCAAATATTTTTACTGATATTTGCAAATGTAGAGGAAATAAACACAATCACCTTAACCTGTGTCCAAGCATAGTCTGTTATGGTTTACTGTTGCTAGGTTTTTAAAACATGGCATTTATTTGAATCCACTGAACTTTGCATAGGGAATCTCTTATCCATATAATTTTTGCACATATCATTTGTGCATGCAAGGGATGTGTGGCTAAAAATCAATGTGCACATAGAAAACAATCACTCCTGAGTTTCTATCAATTCTGCAAGGACCATTAGTCCAAAATAATTGTAAGAGCAAGTGAAAATACATGATCAAGAGAGCTCAGATTTCAATCTCAATTTCCCATTAGCATGCTGTTTGTGCTCAATGGAATTGTTAAAGACTTTCTTACCGTAAAGAAATCACAAAGCGTTATGTGTGGAAAAATCTCATGGGCTCTGTTTCTTGCACATTGGTTCTTGCTCTCTTTCCAAAATTCCTGTAGCCTGTCATGCAAGGGGCCAGATGGGCACAAATAGAGAGCATACTCCTGAGGGATTGGATCATCCAAAGAAGGATCATTACAATGAGAGTGCAACCTGAAATTGAGAGTGTGTTGTACAGGGTAAATTGAGGAACAGTTGTATATAATGAAGTAAGAAGAGATTAGAACTAGTAAAAATTCCCTCCCCCCTCCACAATATTTATTGATGAGATAAGGTCTTTTGGTTTTTAAATGAAAACATTCATTTATTTTGAAACTTTAAAATGAGAACATAATTTTCAGGTTTTGAAAATAGAAAACTCATAATATTGTTGGTTTTCTTTTCTCCCCAATTTTGTGTTTTGCCACTGGAAAATGGAAGAAAAAGGGCAGGGAAGGGGAGGGGGAACCACCCAAAACTGAAAAAGAAAGGGAGGCAATTTTGAAAAAATAGGATTAAAAATCCACAAGAATTCAATTGGCATTTTTATATACCTCTAGTTAAAACAACAATAACAAAACAGAGAGAGAGAGAGAGAGAGAGAGAGAGAGCATTCTCTGAAATTAATAAATCATGCTCTAATCTATAACAACAATCATTCCGCTTTGAGAACTGGAGCATAATCTGCTTCAGAATTTTTCAGTTCACAGCATGAAATCACTTCCAAAGGAGCTTGTTTTATAGTATATCTGTTGACCGAGACATGTGCTGGAATGAACATGCAATGCACCACTTGATCACCACTCTAGATGTTAGAGACAAGTAAATGGCACATATCACCATATTTTATACCACTATAAACCCAGATCTAAAAAACTCCAGAACCATCTTTCTTGTGGCGTAAAGTCTGAATAAAAGTAATAACTTCTATCATCTCAGCCTTGCTGAAAACTACAACAAAGAAAAATATACAAGAATGCATATTTCAACGGCACAATGTTCTGATTTTAAGCCCTTGTATCTGAATTTTCTCTATATCGCTCCATTTGGAGCAAGACAGGTTCCTTTGTAAGAGGCATTGCTGTGGCTGGGTGCTTTTTTATATTTCTTCTTTATCTCAGATATCAGCAGAACTTGTGGATTTGAGATTTGACTCAGGCCTGGTCTATATTTAAAAGTTAGATCAACCGAGCAATGTCACTCAGGATTGTGAAAAATGTTGTAGCTTGAATGCCATAATGGGGTCAGAATAATCCCTGCTGTAGACATGGTGACATCAACAGAAGAATTCTTCTTTCAATATAACTACTGCCTCTCAGAGGCGTGAAATAATTACTTCAATGGAAAAGCATCTACACTATGATTCTCCAGTGGTACAGCTGCAGCATCGGAGCTGTGCCGCTATAGTAGTGTATACTGTAAATATACTTTTAGATTTGGGATTTAAATAAATAAATTTAACAAAATAAATCAGCATCAGCCACATCTCATTATTCTATCATCAGTATCTTGAGTGGAGGAAAAATTCAGATAACCCAAGGGTAGCAACTGATATTACCCATGATCATGATTCTTATTTTTAAAACAGCAAATGCTTAAGTCATTCAGCTTGATTTTATAGCCTTTTCCCACCTGAGGTTGTGGGGTCCATCCAGTCAGTGCCCTTTAACCCAACATGTTCCAAATACTATTACAATTGTAATCTCTCTGGTTGTGTCTACACAGCACCCTAAATAATGTGCTATTTCTAGCCATCCCTTATCCCTCGTGCAACAAGGTTTACTGGGATGGCGAAATAAATGAGCCCGTTATTTCAAAAAATATTTCAAAATAACAGGTGGCTTGTGTAGATGCGGGGTAGCTATTTCAGGATACTAGAGGTAGACGTACCCTCAGATCTTTAATATCTCCTTTTCTTCCTTTGCCCTCCTGTCTTCATGGGCTGAGTACCTATACTTCCCACTCTGATCCACAGTCATTATGCAGTTCTGTGAGAGCAAGAATTGTTTTGTGCAGGAGTGGAGGTGTGAGAAGTTGGAGATATTTATAACATAATGATTCCTCACAATCCTACCTTCTTTGAACACGTCAATATTAAGGGATCATGACAGTATCCATCCCCCACACCCACATGTTCTCTCATCTTCCCTAAAAAAGAACCATCTTTTAGGAAACAAAGTTACTCTGCTCTGACTTTACTTTGTACTTTTTGCAAATAATGTTATACCCACAAGAAATACAATCAAATAAGACTAGTCTCATAAAGCAAAATAAAGATGAACTCAGATTTTATTTCATTTTTACCATAAATTCTACTAAATTCAAATCCTGGGGGGGAGGGGAAACAGCCCATAAGCAAATACATTTAATTTGGTTTCATTTGATAGTACTCCACAGGGAACTGTAAATCACATCATTCTTACCACTTGGAAGCCTCTTCTACTGTCTTGTGTCCTGTAGCAGCCAAAGCTTTATTCCTAAGAAAAATAAAAGTGGAATCACGATGAGAAAGAATAGACGCAGCAAGATAAATGATAAATTCTCCTTTGAGGTCTGGAGACTTTTCTTTAATACACTGCAGAAGCATGCGTCATATAGGCCCACATTATTATTAAAGATGCGGCCAAACAAAATCCCAAGTGTAAGCACTATCGAAGCAAATCAGAACCTGAGATCCAAACACTCTTATATTTAGAATCTGGATCCACATTTTCCCAAAGGATTTATTGTTTGGATTCTGCCTATGGGCGAGACAAATTTGAGCTACAAATTCAGGGAATTTGGTTCAGGTCATGTCTAATACGTAATTACTGTTCTATGGAACCAAATTATGCCAAATTCAGTTTTGAGAGCAGTATGTACCTATACATACACATCTTTGAGACCGAGAGTGGAGTTTCTTGGAGTGGTGGAGATGGGGAGAAGTCCAGTAGAGGAAGAGGAAGCTGGACATTTCAACTTGGACACATTTCTAAAACTCACTATTACTCTTCTGTTTCTTTTGCAATACCCAAGAGACAATTTTTGATGCACATTGAACAATATGTTCTGCCTGCTGGGGCCTTGAACTTAAATTTGTACATTTAATTCCCTTCTGTTCAAGTTCTTATACGGCATCCATCTTTGCGGTATCTGTGCACCTTCTGGCAGTGCATTAAGCAACATGTATTTGTCTCATGTGCTTCTTTCTGGCTTCCTCTCGCCAGGGAGCAAAGTGTATGTGGACTTGTAAATACATAATGACACGCTTTTCTTACTTAGGACAGGCCATGTCTTTTTATTACTGAAGGCTCAACATGGCCAAAATACAACCCTTAATCTTTCCCTCTTGCCCTCCCCACTGCTTACGTTCTTGAGCACTGAGGACACCACCACAATTCTTCCTGTCACTCAGACCTATAAACTGGGGGTTAGGTTTGACTCAGACCTCTCCTTATATCCTATGTGCAAATTTTGCAGATTCTTTCTGCAAAACCTCTCTATTGTATGGCCTTTCTTGTCCCTCCTCATGGCTAAAATTCTCACTCAAGCGCTCATCATAGTGTACCTTGATTACTGCAACATCTAGGCATGATGGTTGCAATCATACCCCTTTCGTATCAATGCAGGATGCTGCTGGTTAAGACTATTTCCCTAGCTGGTTACTTTGCACATGTCAGTTCTCTCTCTGCCTTCTTCCACTGGCTTCCCTTTCTCCACAGCATCACACACAAGCAGCTTGTTTTCACTTCCAAGGCCCTTCACAATCCATCCCTTCTCTAACTATTATCTCCCATACACTAGTAATAGGTCACTTCCTGCCTTCTCTTTGCCAATGCCAACCTCCATCCACCCACATATTACATTTTCAAAAAAGTTTTTGTGCTTTCTCCCATGAAACCCCTGAATCTTGGCAAGAGCTCCTGGCCAACAACAACAAAGCCAAGTCATTGATCCTCCTTTATTTACTTCCTTAAAACTACCCTTTGCCATTAGGCCTATAAATAAACTTGGCAATAACTAGGCAGCTGGGGAGCAGAGACCTCTGCCTATCATACCAGTCATCATTGCTCCATTATTTCCTTGTGTCAGTCTGTATCTACCTGTTGCCTCAACTCATTTTTGGACTGTAAGCTTTTCAAGGCAGTGACTAGGTTTTCATTTGTGTTTGTATCGTGGCTTGCATAGCGGTATCCTAGCCTACGACTGGGGTTCTTATGCACTTCTTCCAAACAAATAACAGACAATAAGGCAATGTAATGCAAAAATGGATCCTAGGTCTACAAAGATCTCTCAAACAGAAAGCAGAAGAGTTCATATATATATATATTGAAAATACTGTTTTATAAGTAAAACAAACTACCAGATAACTGTCTGGAAAAGCTAATAACAATTAGTACTGTGCAAGCCAAGAGTTGGGGGTTAGTGTGTTGATGAGATTCTATGTGATTCCCATTTACACTAAGGTACCTTTAAATGGCTCCGATGCAACTGGGGCTTAGTGTTTAAAAAGAGACTCTGGCTCTACAGCTCTAAACCATGCAAGATCGGGCTATCCTACGATTATTTCCCTCACAAGCTGGTTTTGGCCAGGCCAGGAAAGTTAGTCATGTCTGAAATCAGGAACTGCAAACTTGCGCTAAAATGTCTAAACTCAGAAAGTTGTTCAGTTCAAATTTTAAGCAAAAATCCCGGGGACATTTTAAATTTTATCCAGACCTGCTCCGTGCTCTGTTACCTTTACTTTAAAAAAACAGGCATACATCCACCAGTAGCAACAACATGTTTTAAAGACGATTTGAAGACTTTACAACACAGCGCTCAACTCTGAAAAGATGGCCCCTCATTGGCATTTAATTTTTAACATGATCTTAAACTAAGATAAATACTTTATGGGTTTAAAAAAAGTAAAAATGACAATCACGTTGAATAGGTTTAGATGCTATTTATAAACAGAAAAACTATGCCTTGTGAAAAGTAAACCCTGTCTCCAAAATCCTACATACGGTAAAATGTCTTTGCTATGTCGTAGAATCCAGTATAAGCTATAAGGTATCTTTAAACTTACCTGCATTACAGCAAAAGTGATTAATGAAAAATATGACCTGTTGTAGGTAATGCTGTGGGAGATTACTGTTCATGTCAAGTGTTTAACACGTTTTACAATCTCTCAACCTGAAAAGTGGATAGTTATTAGATCTTAGATATAAAAATGGATGCACAATAGGTTCTTTTTAGGTTTAGATCAACACCCCAAAAATGCTATAAAAGAGGCATAGACTAGGAGATCTTATCTATATACAGAAACATCCCTGTCAAGAAGATGCCTATTTTCTCTGTTAAAAATGCAAGCTGCGCTCAAATTTTTATGAGAAAATTCTTTTAATATCTTCAGGTAACTTAATGCTACTCACGCTGTATGTGCAGGGAATCCCATAGATAAGAGGGATTCTAGTACAGCACAGCTGCTTCTCTTTTTGACTTTGTTCAAGACCTTCGAATATAGTTGTGTTTCAGCCACTGCCATCTCTTCCACTCCTGTGAATGTAAGTTCAGTACAGGCAGAAATTAGTAGAGAGAGAGAGAAAGAGAGAGAGAGAGACAGAGAGAGAGAGAGGGAGGGAGAGGCAGCTAAGATAAAAAACCTCAAACCCCTTGTGATCTTTTTGAGAAACGCTGATATCCTGTTTGCACAGCATGTTAGTCTTTGCATTTTTATTTTAGGGTGGTTGAAAAGCAAGAAAAATATGCAGTCTTCCTATGCCTGCCATAGGTTGTAGTAAAATCGGACTAACCCAGTACATGTCCACAGCACAACAGAGTGCACAGTCAGTGCACATTGCTACTATCAGGGCACTGAATCTCTTCCTTTCAGATCACCATTTTAAATGCACCCCAAAGCAGTAACGAGTCAGTGAGTGTGAACTGGTGTCAGGCATAGGTTGTTCTGTGGTGTACGTGAAATCAATTGGTGGTCTGAGCCAGGTTCTTAGCAGACAGATTTCTGCCTCACAAAGCTAGCACCACAGCTAGGCCCCTTCTTGGCTTCCCCATCATAGAAGCCAAGAATGAAATGAGCATGGAGGAGGAAATATAATTTCTCCTTTAAGGTGCCCCCCCCCCCCCAGCCAGGTTTGAAGCACATAGATCAGTGGTTTTCAAACTTTTTTTCTTGTGACCCAGTTGAAGAAAATTGCTGATGCTTGGGACCCAACATAATTGTCTCTTTTGACTAGAGTGCGGGCTCTGGGAAGGGGCCAGGAATGAGGGGCCTGGGTTGTAGGAGGGGGCTCCAGGTTGGGGTGGGGCTCAGGGTGGGGGCAAGGGGTTGATGCTCATGGTTTGGTCAGCAGCACAGTGGGGCTGCTAGTGCAAGCTTCCTGCCTCTTCGGGCACTGTGGACCATGCTGTACCCCAGAAGTGGCCAGAAGCTGGTCTGGCTCCTAGGCAGAGGCATAAAAGCAGCTCTGCACACTGCTCTTTGTCCATAGGTACAGGCACCCCCAACCAGTTCCCATTGGCCAGGAATTGGTCAGGGTAGGGACAGCACATGGAGTTCTATGTCCTCCCTCCTCTCAGGAGCCAGATCTGCTACTGGCTATTTAAATAATTGTGGCTTCATTTAAATTTAAATGGCCGCCCCGCTCTGCCGATCAGCTGTTTGTCGGCAGATCGGGGCAGTCTGGATGCGCCGCGGTCGACAAAGAAGCCTTTGTCGATCGGCGCAGGTAAACCTGGTTTCATGAGGCTTCTTTGTCGACCGCGCATCCAGACTGCCCCGATCTGCCGACAAACAGCTGATCGGCAGAGCGGGGCGGCCATTTAAATTTAAATGAAGCCGCGATTATTTAAATCGCAGCTTCATTTCCCTCTGCCGTTCTATCTAATCTACATGCCTCCGTCGATGGAGGCATGTAGTCTAGACACACCCTTAAAGATGCCTCCACATCTCACCCTGGAGTGGAAACTTGAACTTAAGTCAGGTCCTCGGGGCTGAGAATCAGGGAATTGTGACTTGCTCCCTAACAGCCTTCCCTCAGGCATAGTGGGGAATCAAACCTAGGTTTTCCAAGGCTGAGCTCAGAGCAGCTGCGGAGCAAATGAACAATTTCTCTCAGTACCCCAGGAAAAAAATGGGGGAAATGGAAATATCAGTCATTTCCAGGCATAGATAAGCCAATTCTGATTTCACTTCTGCCTCTAACTGAACCCAAACTCAACATTGTGCCTGGCGGATGCATTTGGCAAAAACCACACAAAATTCACACAGAGCTATGCAACTAGGTGAAGGGCCTGGTTTGCCAGACTAACTAGCTTTGAGGGGCTCATTCGCCAGAGCCCAGAATTCTGGCGCATGCTTTTCTCCAGCCACTTTATTTAGGAAAAATGGAACAGGTAAGCACACCTATGACTCCATGTTTGGAGAGTTTCCCTCTCAGACAGGTTCACGAAAAGAACCACAATATTACCTTACCTGATTACACTGATTAAAAAGGTTGCTGATTCTTTGCCTTCCTGCTATGCATAGTCATGTAGGCTACCTGATATCAACGATCAGGTTGAATTACACAGACTACAGTAATAATTTCGTTTGCTACAGTGGTTGAGCTGGCAGTTCTGGGTGGTTTGATGAAAATATTTCCTGAGTGGACTGGTTGAACAACAGCTAGATTTCCATCTGGCTTATTACTATAATGAAAAGAGAACATATTTTTGTTTTTAACCATGGCTTCTCAAGAAGAGGTGAGTAACAACCTAGGACAGAGGAAATAACAATCTCTATTATTCTGTAACTGTATGTCATGCTTCTTAATACTGTTTATTTCCAGAACATGGAACAATGAAGGTATTCTTTATGTTCAGAAACCATTTGCAGTAAGATGCTTTTTCCTTATTTCTGCACTAAAACAGCAGTTATATAATATCTCTTGAAATGTTTACTCACCAGGAATGTATGCTATATCTGATAGAATGAGAGAAAGGTTTTATTTGGGTAAGTAATGCTTGCTGGATGGTGAAAAGATATTCTGTTTCTTAAAAATGCTGTCAAACAAGAACTATGCTTTGTCTAAGGTAAACATTTCCTGGGCCTGATATTTTAGATTAATAGCATACTAGCTCCTCAGACTTTAATACAATTACTCCTGATTACACCAGTGTGAGTGCAGAATCAGACCCACTGTATCATTTGATTGTTAGAGCAGATGCCAAAGTTTTCTCTATCCTATCCCTTCATGTCCCTACATTTTAAAATGTAAGGCTTATTTACCCAGAACTATATTTTAGCATTTTATTTTCAGTTTGTGATAGGCATACAAGATGCAAAAATTCTTCAGCATAAGCTAACTGGGAAGTCAGATCAGAACAGGCTTTGCACAGTTCATAACTTGTACTTCCTTTTACTTAACAGTAGCAATTAAAAAGCATCCTGTAGAAAAGAAAATGCTTTGACGTTTAAAGAAGGAACTTGTCAGAATTTCTTGATGTGGTAAATGAATTACTCTAAATAACTGTGGTTATAGGCAGACCTGAGCAACATTTTAGTTTCAGTAAATTCCTGGTTAATGTTTGCTAATTAGGGATCAATTTGTGCAATTTGCTGAGTGCCCTGACTCTCACTGAAGTCAATGGGAATTGCATGAGCTTCTCAGTAATGCACTGAAGCTGCTCAGCATTTTTCAGGATGAAGCCATTTTTAAGCAAACAGAGAAAAAGCCTGAAAGCTGTCCATGGATTTGCTTTGTATCAGCTGTTCATTCCAAAAATGTGCTAAAAGCAGAGCCCCTCAACAAAAAACAAAATAGAATAAAATCATCACCAGTAGAAAGGCATTGGAGTGGTATGGTCCAAAAGAATAGTTGGTTTTAAAACTGACTTCTGTTCTTTGTGGAGCCAGGTACTGGAGACAAATCCCAATACTGCAAATCTTGAAATCACCTCTGTTACAGAAGACAAATTGCCAGTACCTGAAGTTAATTTTTTCTACAAAAGATTTCTCAGCATACAACAAGCAAAAGTAGATCCCAGTGCAAGTGAACACGGTAGGGATTTTGCCTTTTTTTGTTTTGGTTTGGTTTTTTTGTTTCTTTGTAATGTGTACATTTCCCTTGCAAAACTATTCTTACACAAACACTGTGGGTAATTTTTTTCATTACTGAGAAAAGAAGCACTTATTTTTTCACTAGCTTCATCAGGGTACGAATGGGTAAGGACTTTTTTTGCCTGGGCGGATATGTTTCCATGATATTTTTGCAAAGTTTCATTATTGATACAGCTTCAACCAGGTAGTAGATGATTTGTTTCTTACTTAAGATATGACACAATTTTGAATGTTTGACCTGAAACCTTCCAAATCTGGAAATCCATATCATTAGAAACAGGCAATATCGATCAGGGATAGCACAATAGGCAGGTTGGTTATATTCTGTAGCCTGACCTTGTTCCCATTGAAACAAGGGACAAAACACACGGTAGTTTCAATGAGAACAGAATCAGACCCAAGGTCAGATAACGTGATATTAATTTATACAGACTGTTTAACTACTATAGCTCTGCAAAATATTAATCATGACACCTGAAGCCAGACAAAATTTAGCTGATTTCACATTTTGTTTGTCTCAGGGTACATCTACACTGCACGCTTATGTCAAAATAAGCTGTTGTGGAATAGGTGTTATTCCCTGTAGAATGAGGTTTACAGATTTTGGAATAAGCCATCTGTCATTACGAAATTATTTCAAAATAACAGAATGGCTGTGTAGATGCTCGCATTATGATTTCAAATTAACACTAGTTATTTCGAAATAACAGTGCAGTGTAGACGCACCCTAAGAGACCCACTCAATTTCCACTGTTTGCAATTTTACATGAAACTGGGTGAAACTCAGAAGTTTTGTCTGAGCTTCAAGTTTTTGCAAATCCAAAATTCAAAGGTAAGTTCAGGGATAGAGTGGATGAATCAAAACTGAAGACCTCCTAGATATGCAAATGGATGAGTTTCACACTCAATTTTCTCTTAATTTGGCGTTGATATATCGAACCAGAATAATTTTTTTACAGAAACCATTCATTATTTTCTGTGCAACCCATTGTCTTTCTTGTTGATCCACTAATGTGGGTTCCTGTTCTTTAATCTATTTCAGAGGACTGCCTCTTCCATTGATTTTCTGCGTGACTTTGCCCAGCTCAATTAGGCCCAATTTTCCAACAATCACCTCTAATTTTGGCCTTCAGTTTTCTATAACCATATTTCCAATATTATCGTTCCAATTAGCCTTGCTGCCAAAGCAAAATTCTAGAGCTTTCTTCTTGCCTTGGACTTGTGCTTTCTTCTGCCACCTCTTATATACAAGTATACTGTATACAGTATGTACAATAAAAAGGGTTAAGAACTCTTTATATACAGTATATAATGTGCAAAAGCGGCGAGGAGTCCTGTGGCACCTTAGGGTACGTCTAGACTACATGCCTCTGGCATACCTGGGTTGTCGACAACTCCCTTTGATGTCGGCAGGGGAGCGTCCAGACTATCACGCTGAGCCGACAAACAGCTGATCAGCTGTTTGTCGGCTCAACGCGGCAGCCATGTAAATTTAAATGAAGTGGCGATTATTTAAATCGCCGCTTCATTTTACTCTGTCGGGTAGCCTAATCTACATGCCTCTGTCGCCAGAGGCATGTAGTCTAGACGTACCCTATAATCTCTTACAAAACACAGGCCAATTTTGTCCTTCTCTTGGTTCTGCCCTGCCACTGTTTCAATCTTTAGCATCTCATATTCACTTCTAGTATTTCACTCTACATCTTTATTCTTCAAGTGTTATGGGCTGCAGTATGCTGCTGCTAGATTTACTTCTTCACTGTGACAAGTGGAGCCATAACCGATCCTTCCTTTTCACTGGAGTTCAGTTGTCCTGAATACAGCACACAATGTAGCATCTAGCCAGAGATGACAATAACAGCGAGCACCAGAAATACTGAGTTGATAGAGGAGAGATTCTAAAGACATTTGTTGGCAGTAGTTTTCATAAAAATGACACTCAGCCATTCATTCTTTGATTATTCTTTGATTATTTGATATTTGTTCATTAGAGGATTCACTGGGCATTGCTCAGGTTCTTAGCTGAATTTTTTTGGTTTTTCTTCATTGAATCATTGGTCTGGGTGCTCTGTGGTGGGTTTGGGGCTGAGGGTTCAGTATGCAAGCTGCCCAGAAAGAGAGGACAACCCTAGCCCTTCTCACCACAGCAGGGTCAGGTGAGAAGCACCCCTCCATCGCTGCTGCAGCTGTAGCAGGCTCAGCCAAGGGAGAGGTGCATGTCCCACAAGTGGGGGACAGACAGACCCATAGACAAACTCAAATAGTAAATAACTGGTTATTGTTGTCCACATCTCTGGCCTCTTGCTCCCCCCTTGTGGTCATTATGCAGTATAACTGTCTCTGCTAGCAGCCTCCTCCATTCCATTGTATGAGAAACAATCACATTCTAGGCACATCCCATTGTCCTGGTACAATCAAACCCTGACCTGGCTTTAAGTTATGATAAGAGGAAGCTGTATACCAAATTTTGGTAGCCCTACCTCTGATTGTTTAGGAGTTCTTGAACAAATGGACACACAGATAGATGGACATACAGACACACAAACTCTCTCAAATATATAGTAGATTTCAGAGTTTTATAATCTATTCTAAAATTCTTTGTAGATCCTGCACTTTTTTCAGGTTTTATTATATGAATAAAATAATTCTGAATGTTCTTTTCTCAGAGTCGTTCAACATTTTAGAGAGAGACATATACTTCTTTTGTTTTTATGTTTAGAAATCAAGCTTTGCATTCACTGGGGCTTAACTTAACCAGCCACTCACTAGGGACCTGATTCTAAGCCATCAAAAGCAAAAGGAGTCTTTCCTTTGTTTCAATAGGCTATGGACCAAGTCCCTAAGTGCAGAACAACTTTTGCAAGGTTTTGACTGTTCTCAACTCCTTATAGAAATTAGTCAGCACCACAGAGGTTTGGGCCATACCATAAAACGAATGGAGCAATTACTACTTGAGGCTATTTTAAAATTTTTAAATGTTTTCACTGAAAATCTAAGCTTATGTTTTTATTTAACAGAAACTGCTGTTTCTAACTTATTTTGTTTGGTTTCTAGGTGCTATCCAGCCACCTTTGAAGTGCCATGTTTTAGTCTCACTAAGGTTTCTTCCATTTATCCTGGTTTTGTTACTTGTAGTAATCCTAGCAGTTGCTATTGGTCTGGGTGGTGAGTACAATTAGTTATTTATTAGGTTCTCAATTAACATTCAAACACTTAATTTTTCATGAGCCCCTTACTGAGAATGGAATTAAACTGCCATCAAAGTTGTTTACTGAAGTAAAATATCCTTTTGGTTTGATGACTATAAATTGTATTTACTGGTATGAACAAAAATGATCTGGCACACAAGAAAGGCCATTGGCAAAGTCTTCCAACACTCACAACAGTGGAAAACTTGACTAAGAAACCTTCAAGGCAAATACTGTATTTGAAGACATAACTGACTGAAACACAGATGTCAATGATTCGACATAACAATCCCCATTCAAAAAAACACGTAAGCAGCCTTGTGAGCTTGAGGAATAGAGACTGGATGTGTCTTCAGACAATGTATGCCATTTTTTGCCCGGTGGTTTTTTTTCATATACACTTATAAAAGACTATCATCAATGAAATATAAACTGGGGATTAGAGAGGGTGGAAAGGAGCCATAATCAACAACAGTGCTGTTTCACTGTAGTTGCCATTACTAATGGATACATTTAACAGCATTGTGTAGCCACCTCCAGATTGTATTTCAACATTCCTGGAATACAAGGGTTGTCTTTTCATTAACAGCACAAAAGTGAGGCTATATAATCAAAGTAAGAAAAAATACATCAAGCACACAAATTAGTATCCTGTTGTGTTCATGTTAGTGTGTTCTTTTTAATTCCTGGCAGTCCAGTACAACTGCATTGGGAAGTTTCGATGCAGATCGTCCTTAAAGTGTATCCAGAAAGCAGCGAGGTGTGATGGTGTCTTTAACTGTAAAGGAGGAGAGGACGAGTACAGTTGTGGTAATTTTTACTCTATTATGGGTCACTTCTAACAGTCCTTGGCAGAAGAGCACTTGGCATATTATAGCAAAATGTGTGTTATCAAACTTCTGGGAAGAGATAGAAATGAAAGCTGAGTGCACACTACAAGGCAGGAGCACTTGGTGATTTACCTTGTTGCCACCCATGTGACACATGTGTACAAGTTTCCAACATTTCCCTATAGCAATTTCTGGTGCCACACAATAATTTTAAATGAGTCTTTCCTGTGCAGTTTTATAATAGCTGATTGTGTTCTTTTCAACAATATTAGGGGAATATTAGGACCCTAATTATAGTAGTAGGTAGGTAGGGAATGATGGAATAAATTTTAAAGAAGTGGATTTGTAATTTGGAATCATTTACATCCTATTTATTTTGTTAATGAGTTGGAATCCTAAACCGTATACAGAATTTTAGAAAAGTTTTGCCCTTCCCATTTTCCAGCCTGCCCAATGAGAAGAATGAAAATCTAATCTCAACATTTTGGAGTCAGATAGTCACATACTGATCCTGGGATGGATCTCTTCTTTCCATCTGAAAGTGCAGGGGTATGTTGCCTCTGCTGTGCCATCCCCCATGGGAATTCTCCACAGCTGGAGCTCTGCAGACCAAGGGACAGAACTGGATATCGGAATCAGGGGAAGCATTGTGTTCTACAGCATTGTCTCTGATCTATTAGGCTACATCTACACTGCAAGGTTTTAGCACAAGAAGTCTTTTGCGGAAGAGTTATTGCACAAAAACTAATTGCGCAAAAATACGTCCACACCTCAAAGCGCATCACAAAAATGATGTGCTTTTGCACAAGAGAGCGTCCACACTGCACAATGAATGGCCATCAGAGCACCTATGCTTTTTCCCATAGGGGTTTCCTGTGCAAGAAACCCCTCTGGAGTGTCCACACTTGCCATTTTGTGCAATAGATGTAGCACAAAAGGGAGTTGTGCCTCATAAAAGGAGGTTTACCTACATCGGCAAAAGCCCTCTGTTCTGCAGTTTTACTGCTGATTTACTTGACCAAAAGCACATTTGAGATGTGGACGCTCCACAGGTTTTTGCACAAAACCAGCCATTTTTGTGCAAAACCTTGCAGTGTAGACGTAGCCCTAGACTCATAGACTTCCGGGACAGAAGGGGCCACCATGATCATCTAGTCTGATCTCCTGCACATTGAAGACCACAAAACCTCACCCACCTACTCCTGGAATAGACTCCAAATTCTAGTCACTATTTACACTAATTTAAACAGACATGGAACTTGTAACCCCGGCGGCACGGGAAGGTGAATTCCCTCACTTCTCTCCCACCCACCAGAGTCTCTGCCAATCTGAGCTGAGGAAAAATTCCTCCCTGATCTCAAATATGGTGATCACAGTTAGACTCTATGCATGTGGGCAATACCCACCAGCCAGACGTCCTATTGATTCTGAACAGCAGGCGCTTGCCCAAAAGTCAGCCCTATTCTATTACTACTAGAATTCTGGCAAAAGCTTTCTGAATCTATGTACATTTTATGTAGGGACTTGCCAGGTACATCAGGTGGCATCAGTGACGCTGCATTTATTGGGTGTCCCTTTGCATATTGTCAAATAGTGAGGAAGGTAAAGGAAAAATCAGTTTTCTATGTGCGAAAAGATACAGGGGATTTATCTCAAAGGGTGCATCTATACTGTGGTGCTAGCTCAAAATAAGGTATGCAATTTGAGATATGCAAATTGCATATCTTATTTTGAGCTTATTTTGAGATTGTCTATTTTGAAATTTGGCACTGTGTAGTCTTCACAGCACCAAAATTCTAAATAGAGCACTATTCCAACAAATCCCTTAATCCTCGTGGAATGAGATTTACCGGGATGTAGGAATAGTGCGCCCATTATTTTGATTATATTTAGAAATAACAAGGCGTGCTATCAAGATGAGGAAAACGCTATTTTGGGGTATCAGAAGTATCCTGAAATAGTGCCACAGTGTAGACGTACCAAAGAAACAAGTGTTCAAAAGAGACAAGTAGTTCAGACAGAATTCACCAAGAATGGTGATTTGCTTACCATGTCTTTTACTTGATAGAGTCCTCAGTGGTTTTTATTAAGATCTTATTAATGCTTTTCTTGTTATTCTGAATTCTTCAGTCAGGCTGAGTGGAAAGAAAGCAGTGCTTCAGGTGTTTACTTTTGGTTCCTGGAGGACCGTCTGCTCAGATGACTGGAAGGAGGAGAAGGGAAATGCTACATGTAAACGCTTAGGTTTCTCTAGGTACTGTGAGAATCTCTAAATGACATTTTAAATGACTTTCTCTGGTGGGAAGTTCCTGCAGGAAGGCTTATCTGACTTGGTCTCACTCCCCACGACAGCTCTATCTGCTGTACAGGCCAGCTTTATTCTTGCAGGTGACAATTCAGTTCTGAGATTATAATGGCATACCCTATACTGTGAACTTAATGCTTTAAGTTTCCTTGTATAATGTATGTACTCTGATTTGTATACAGTGTTAGTATTAATGTAAACATTACTAAAACAAATGATTTTTGGCATTGGGAGAAAATATGACTTGACTATTCAACGTCAAAGGGGTGAATTCAGGTGGCTTTATTTTCAAAATATACTACAGAGTGAGTGACAAAGAGCATGTATAGGAAAATCCCCCTCTCATTGACAGGAGTTACACTGCTGAGGCTAGGAAGGAGATGGTGGAGTGCTGAGAGAGCGACACTTCCTGTTGATGTAAGAGAAGATGACTCAAAATAGGCAACCTTGGGAGCAAATTGGTCTTCCCAGAAGCTGGGACTAGACAACAGAGGATGGATGACTTGATAATTGCCCTGTTCTGTTAATTACTGCTGAAGCACCTGGCATTGGCCACAGTTGGAAGACAGGATACTGGGCTAGATGGACCTTTGGTCTGACCCATGATGACTGTTCCTCTGTACTTATGAGTAAGGTCCCTGGCTGGCAGATGTAACAAGTTCCTTTTAGGTGCTAATTCTTCTATGCTTCTTCCCAGTATACCTCACAGCAGACAGCAGGATGTGACCCTACGGAAATAAGGGTCGGCTGTGCCATGCTCCTGGAATATTCACTTCCAGATTCACATTTCACCACAAATTGGTATTTCCACACCACTGCAATGCAATAGATATTGTCCACGTCTGTTCAGTCAGTTCACAGTCAACAAACTTCAACTGAGAATTGGGAAAAATACAGCAAAAGATTTTCTGATTGAAATGTTTGAAGTAACTCCCATTGAGAGGGTTCCCATCCTTTCTGTGTTTGTTTTTTGGGAATATCCTGGCTAATGTGTTTCCTTGATTGAAACTGAAAAAATTAAGTTACTATTGGAGAACATTTATGACTGGTAACATTTGAAAATAAGTGAGGGTACGTCTAGACTACAGGCTTTTGTTGACAGAAGTTTTGTCGACAGATACTGTCGACAAAGCTTCTGTCGACAAAGGGCGTCTACACTACATTCAGTTCTGTCAACAAAGCAAGCTACTTTGTCGACATCACAGTGTAGACGCAAAGGACAGTTTAGATGCAATAATGCTTTCTGTCGACAGAACTCTGTCGACAGAAGGCGTTATGCCTTGTAAAATGAGGTTTACCAGGGTCAACAAAATTGCTGAGTTCTGTCGACGTTATGTCGACAGAACTCTGTGGTAGTGTAGACGCAGGTTTAGTTTTGTCGACAAAAGTCCACTTTTGTCGACAAAACCCTGTAGTCTAGACACACCCTGAGTATGTGCACCAGAAAACTGATTCTAAAACATATATATATCTGTTCAATACATAAACATGAAGGGCATGTCTACACAGCAGGGCTAAAGCCAAAATAAGCTATGCAACTTGCGCTATGTCAATTCCATTGTTTAAGTCAAAATAGCTTTTTTCAGCTTTTGACTCTGTCTACATAGCAGGAAGTCCGAGAAAGAGCACTCTTCCTCCAACTTTCCTTATTCCTCATAAAATGAAGTTTATAGGAGTCAGAGTAAAAAGTCCTCCAGCTTGGCATTATTTTGACATTATGTTGAAATAACTGCTTGTTGTGTGGGTGCGGACTATGTTATTTCAGAATAATGTCAGTTATTCTGAAATAACGCTGCCGTGTAGACATAGCCAAAGTGACTCAGTGTCCAATTAAGTATAACCAATACAACTTGAATTTTACTAACAACTATTCAGAATTAGTTAGTCACAAACAGACCAAAAATTATTTGAAGACATGAAAAAAATCACTCTTGGAAATTTTTTAAACTAAAAAAAAGCAAAATGTGTTGAATTAAAAATAGTTACTATTTCTGTACCTCCTCTTCAATAAAAACTGGGGGCATGTCTAAACTACAGGCTACGGACTAAAAGCAAGCCGCTTTGTTAACATGAGAGTGTAGATGGAAAGGACAGTGTAGATGCAATAACGCCTTCTGTCAACAGAACTCTGTTGACAAAAGGCGTTATTCCTCATAGAATGAGGTTTACCACCATCGACAAAACTGCCGAGTTCTGTCGATGTTATGTCGACAGAACTCGGCGGTAGTGTAGACGCAATTCCGCAAAATCAGCTGCTTTTGTGGAAAAACTTGCCAGCTGTCTACACTGGCTGCTTGAATTTCCGCAAGAACACCGATGATCTCATGTAAGATCGTCAGTGTTCTTGCGGAAATACTATGCTGCTCCCATTCGGGCAGAAGTCTTTTTCCAAAAGACTTTTGCACGAAAGGGCCAGTGTAGACAACACAGTAGTGTTTTCCGCAAAAAAGCCCCGATCGCGAAAGTGCTTTTGCGGAAAAGCATCCTGCCAAACTAGATGTGCTTTTCCGAAAATGCTTTTAATGGAAAACTTTTCCGTTAAAAGCATTTTCGGAAAATCATGCCAGTGTAGACATAGCCCCTAAGTTTTATTCTAGAGGGAAAGGAAGAAAGTATGTTAGCATTGCAAAAATTACTGAGCAATTAAAGGTAAAAAGTTTAGTACAAAATTAGAATTATAACCTATTTTCTCTGTCACATTAGGGAGTCTGCTCTGTTCTCGGTATGTGAGATTTCCATACATATTAATAAAAAACAACTAATAGTTTGGTAGCACTTTAAAGACTATCTCAGCTACCCTTCTGAAACTTTTATACCTATTAATGGCAGTTTGATGCAGGCACCACAAGATTAATAGCTTCTTTTCTGAACAATGACTGTATTGCTTTATATGCTGTTAGCATTAGACGGATATATTTACTACTTTGAATCTTTTAGTAATAGTCACACTAAATTATTTAAAAGTATTATTGGAAATTCCAAATCAGCAAGCTAAATTTATGATTTATTTGCAGTTATGTGAGTTCAGGTTATCTGCCTGCAGCTGCAATTGAAGAAGAGTTCCAAAGACATTTTGTTTCTGCCAGTCATTGGTTATCAGCAGATCAAGTGACATCCTTACACAATGCATCACACTTAAGGTATGTTTCAGATTGTTTTAGGGAAATGGAGGAAAGTTACTAAGCAAATCAGAATATATATGGTGATCTAAATGGTCTAGATAATGGAGTAAGAATTGTTCATAAATTAAGTTTGTTGGCTTATTTTCTCAAGAAGTTGCATCTTTTCTCAGGCATGTAGACCTTCATAAATGTCATATGCTGTTATATAGTAGAGACCCAGGTTCATTCACAGCTTCATTATTTGCTCTCCAAAGAATGAGAGTTCATGTGTTTTAGGGACTTGATCCAAACCCATTAAAATCAAACTATAGGCTTCCATTGACTTCAGTGGATGTTGGATCAGGCCCTTTGTGCATCTGTAGATATATTCTGAGATGTATTATATATATAATCATACAAACACACATACCTAGACACATGGGATATTTATGCATTATAGATATAGACACACACAACATTCAGTGTTTAGTCTTTTAATTAGACCCTAAAAACAAAACCAGATATCTGTCCCAGAAACTTAAGAAAGCAAAGAGCATATTTAGGGACTAACATTACTGTTTTCTATCTTAGAGAAGAGTGCACTTCAGGCAACATAATCACCCTAAAATGTTTGGGTAAGTGCTTGTGAAATTAAAAGTAACAGTTCGAAAACTATCTTCAGTTACATCCTTTGCAGTTGGCTCATATAAGAGGACTCTAAGAAAAGCCAGAAGTATATTGCCATGTTGTAAACTGTGGGTAATGTTTTTGTGAGGTTCAGGGAGAACTGCCTTCGGTAAGTAAAGTTTCAAGGAAAGCCAGAGAAGAAGTTGTGGGGTGAGGAGGCAAGAGATGGGGAATGGAAGCATATATTGGGAGGATTTATGTACAAGTGAGGAAGCAACTATTGAAGGACACTGAATGAGTTCTGTTAATGAATGAATATTATAAGTCCAGGTAATTGTCACTGGAGAGGGAAAAGGGAAAATGTTGTCTTACCTATGAATTTACATTCTAGGATCTTTCATGTCAGAGAGCCTTTAGAGGGGGATTGTCTCCATTTCCATGGGAAACAGAAACCAACCAGATCTTTGGTCTAAGCCTGTGTGTGGGTTCTGCTCATATCTATTTTCTTAAAAGGTTTGGATTTAACCAGAAGGGCAACATTACCACTTTTTATTATATCAAGAAGACTGCACTGACTTTAGTGTGATCATCTTGCAGATGGAGGCTTCCTTAACTAGCATAGTTGACAGAGTGTTTCATTGAGAGCATGCCAAGCCCCAAAGTCCCCTTTGTTGAAGAGATGACAAATAACTAAAAGATATTTTCAGTTAAAGGAAGAGAGCTATCAATGTGAAGCTGAAATATGATTTTATAGGATGTGTATTACACAGATCAAGATCATGATATGAATCTGCATATTGCCAGAAAACTGATATGCACAGTTTTTTGGTACCACATAACTTTCCTTATCTCTGTTTTGGATACCATATTGGAAGGCCAGAAGCAACCACAAATTTCTGATAAAGCAGGCTAAAGAACTTTCCCCAAATAGTTCCTACTGTACATCTTTTCAAAACACATCCAATTTTGATTTAAACATTATCAATGATGTAGAAGCCACCACAACACTTTGTAAAGTTACTTTCACTGTAAACATTTTGCACTGTCTTTCCAGAATGAATTTGTCTAGCTTCATCTTCCAGCCAGTGGACTGCGTCAATCCTTTCTCTGCTAGGTTGAAGATCCCATTATTAAAGATGTGCTCCCCATATAGATCCTTATAGACTGTAATCATGTAATCAAACCCCTTAACTTTCTCATTGTTAAACTTAGCTCTTTGGATCTATCACCATAAGGCATGCTTTCCATCCTTTAAACATACTCATGGCTCTTTTCTGAACCCTCTCCAACTTATCAATTTTTTTGAACTGAGGGCACCAGAACTAGACTCTGTATTTTAGTAGTGGTCACGCCAGTGCCACATATAGACATAAAATAACTTCTCTACTCATATTCCAGATACCCCTGTTATGCATCCCATGATCACATTCTCTCTTTTGGCCACGGCATCACACAGCGAACTCAGGTTCAGCTGATAATCATCATAAATAATTTGGTGAACACAACATATATGCATTGGATAACAATGGCTTTCCAAAGCATACAAGATGAACTATTGTACCTTCATTGTCTGATAACTTTCTGATATGGTCTTGTTAATAATGTTGATATATTTTAATTTACTTTGGGGAAATGGATAGATTTGAGTTTGTGGAAAAAGAGTGTGTTCAATTGGATATCCTTCCTGGACTCAAGTGCTCACTCTGTGAGGTGGCTCGTTCCCAGATGAGGGCCCACCCTGACCCACCCCTCATGAGAATGGGTGAGAGAGAAATTTGCTCAGACTTGAGAGCCAGTTGACACTTTTTCATAGAATCCCAGCAATAGTCTTAGGAAAGCAGCCAATGGCTTCTTCCCAATTGGCAATCACACATAGGAACCTGGAGGATCAGCAGGTTCAAAGGGAACAGCTGCCTAGCCAAGGTAGTTCAGAGAGTCTCACTGGAGGTAGCTGGAAAGTGACTGCTTTGTGTCTATGCTCCTCAAAGTGATTATCAACAAAACCTTTGGAAGGATAACAAATGCTACCAGCAATTCCAATTTCTTCAGATGCTGCCATAGTTGCTTATTGGAAATTTTAAATATACGGCAAATCGGAGTCAGGGGAAGCATCAGTCTGGAAACAATTGCCAGGCAAATCTAGTTTAAAGAAGAGTTTCTTGTGTTTTCTTTCAGTTCTGTTCTGTGAATGCTCAAGATGGCCTCCCCATTGAGCACAATCTTCATAATAAAGAAACTGGTAGCCAGTATGCTCTGGGCTGAGGCTGTGGTAGCCAAGTTTAGTCTGAGTGATGATTTTGTTCTCCTCTCTGCGGATTTGACAGGACTGTTCTCTCAGATAGTGTGACAATGCCCTTTACTAAGAAACTTGAAGCAGGCCTAACATTATGCAGAGTCATGAAGATCTTTTAGTCCTTCGGTATAGGAATGCCTTTATAGAGAATTCCCACTTCACCTTAATCACACCCTCATAAGCAAGGTGAGGACAAACTACACAGCTCTTCAACTTTGCAAGGGTTTTCTCACCTTTGGTTTTCATTTTCTATAAAAAGAAGTACCTGTGAAGATAAACACTCATTTGTGGTTAATTCTGGGAAACATAGCTCAGAATCTGAGTTATCTTGCTTAAAGTCATAGAATTTTCTCTTTCTCTTTAGAGGATCTAGAAGTATGTCTCTTTCATAAGAATTGTTAGGACTTTGTGCTCTTATGTTAAGAGCAGATTGTGATCAATAGCCTTCACCAGTTCCTCTGCCAAAGAAGGGCCTTTTAGGGGAGAGTGTATTACCAGGGAGATTAAAAGGACATCTGCAGGCACATAACCTGCATGTCTCTGTGAGGAAAATCATATCCACTGTATTATTTCTTGTGGAACCCTAGGAGGTTGGAAGAGGACAGTAGGAAGGTCCATATTGAAATGGGATTTGAATTAAAGCTGAATAGAAACTGTTTTCCTGTTCTGTGAACATTTTTGAGGTATCAAAAACTGACTCAACTTGCAAATTGGACTGAAATATCTAATTTCCAAAAAGAATGTCAGTGTGAGTTAATAGAAACACTTTCAAAATATCAAAACCAGATGAAACCATTAAAAATGTATTTTACTTTAAATTACAAAAGTATTCTCTAGCCAGAAAATTGGAGGAAGGAAACAGTTTCACTGAAAAATGTCCAAATTATTCAGAACTCTTTTTCAATTTTTTTTATTTGACAGAAAATGTCAAAACGAAGCCTTTTTTGCAAACAGTTTTGGTTTCAGTAAGTTGGTGTTTTTCTGATTAAAAGTATTTCATCAAAAAATTCCCAACCAATTCTAATCTGAATCATTTCACTCCATACCTTGATGGTAGGGCTGGGCTGAGTGAGGATTGACTGACCAAACACAATGGAGGACTTAGACAGAACCACTGGGGATAAATTACTCTTTGTTAACAGAAAGGATGCACCTACATGTGGGAAGAAACTTTCTGGCTTGATTTTCAAGCTGTAGGAATAGGGATCCAATATCTCAGGGAGAGGCAGTGGGGGCTTCGACATTTACCCACAGTTCTCAACAACACAGATTTTTTGTTTGGTTTCGCTGAAGGAAGCTTTGATGCAACCTGCTCCAATGTCCTGATGTGAACCTCACCCTTAAGAGAGCTTGGAACTGGTTCTATGGTGACCTATTACATTTTCTTAGGCTGGATCTTACCCATAGCCCAGCTCAGAGCTGAGATCCTATAATCTACTTAATATTGCCATTTCTGAGAGGAGAGAAAGTCAAAAGAACTGAGGAGAGGTGTTTAGTTTGGGATTTTTTTAGCAGTTTTGAGGAGAAAAACCTTGAATCCAATGATGGAGAAAAATACTGAGAGACATTTAGTTAATATCTTTAAAAAGTCCTGTGAGAGCTCTGCAGCAAAGCCATTGAATCTGCTGTGTGTACTGCTTGGAGACACAAAATTCTGGGGAGGTGTTCTTGAAGGATGATCCTAATTCCAGGCTCAGACCCAAGATATGGTCTGACTCCAGTTGCTGTAGAAAAGGGGAACATCCACTGCGAAGACTGATATTAAGCAGACTGAGAATAACTGGAATTCAAAAAAGTAAAGAATAAAATTGTGCTTCACACAGATAGGATTGTGTTTACTATGTTTATAATACTCTCCCGATTCTTTCTTCCCATTCATACAGAGTGTGGTACTAGGTCCAGGTTCTCCTCCCGCATAGTTGGTGGAAATGCATCATCACCCAAGCAATGGCCATGGCAGGTCAGCCTTCAGTTTGAAGGATTCCATCTGTGTGGGGGATCCATCATCACCCCACGGTGGATTATCACAGCAGCCCACTGTGTTTATGAGTAAGTATTTTATCTATTTACTTGCTCAGCTTCCCTATATCTGGCTGCATCAATTCAAGGGATAGTTGCTTTAATGCAGAAGGATAATGGGAACAGAATGACAAATTACATTGAAGAAAAGTTTTGCCCAGGAGTGAATTGTTATCCCTATTGGACTGTTTTGTTCTCTGTATTATGATTTTATTATTTTTCTAAGCTTGCTCCAATGAAAGTATCTCACATACTATTGTATAAAGTGAAGGCACTGGTTGAAAGAAGGCATATGCTAACAATGGTCCATCTGCTATGACATCAAAATCTAAGGTCATATCTGGGAGATTGGGCCTCGTTTTCAGAGATTCTGAACATTCAAACTTCTATTGATGTCAATAAGAACAACGGGGCCCAACAGACCTGGATAGTGGTGAAACAGTGAGAGAAGTGAGTTCCAGAATGACGGGCCCTCTCCAGAAAATGCCCAACTATTGGCCCCCTTAAATAAATCTAATGACTTATTTTGAGTGCTCCAGCTGGTCTCAAGCACTCTGATGTTACACAGGGAGGGTATGTCTACACTACCCCGCTAGTTCGAACTAGCGGGGTAATGTAGGCATACCGCACTTGCAAATGAAGCCCAGGATTTGAATTTCCCAGGCTTCATTTGCATAAGCGGGGAGCCGCCATTTTTAAAACCCCGCTGGTTCGAACCCCGTGCAGCGCGGCTACACGGGGCACAAACTAGGTAGTTCGAACTAGGCTTCCTAGTTCGAACTACCGTTACTCCTCGTGAAATGTACTATATAAGTGTACTCTGTTAGGGTACATGTACTCTGCACACTTATTTCAGATTAAGCTATTCGGAAGAAATACTCCGAAATAGCTTATTTCAAAATAGCACATCTACACTACAGGGAAGCCTCAAAATTAGCCTGAGGCAGGCTCCTCTAATGTGGACATGCTACCTTAATTTAGGGCACCAGGAGGCACTGGGGAGGAGCTATTTCAAAACAGCAGCAGTGGAGAGTCTACACGACAGCAATGTCAAAATAGCTATTTTGGAATAGGTGTAATTCCTTATGGAATGAGGTTTACAGAATAAGCTGTCTGTTATTTTGAATTTATTTCTGTGTAGATGCTCACATTGTTATTTCAAAATAACTGTGCTGTGTAGATGCACCCCTAGTCATTGTACTTAGAAGCACTGTCTTTCTAAGTTGCTGGGGAGTGCTCAACTCCAGCTCCACTGCAGACTGTGCCCTTAGTCCAGCCCATCCCACTCTTCCCAACCTGCTCCATTCTTTCCTTCCCGCTTTCTGACCTTTTCCCTGAGAATGCCCTGCCCTTACTACTTCCCAACTCCCCCAATGCCTCCTGCATGCCACTGAATAGCTGAACATGGTGGGCAGGAGGCACTGGGAGAAGAGGGAGGAGCTGACTGGAGGGCTGCTGGTGGGTTCTGAGCATCCTCTATTTTCACTGAAGGAAAGGGAAGGAGCTGATTGGAGAGCGGCTGATGGGTGCTGAGCATTTACTATTTTTTTTCCATGGGTGCTTTGGAGGTGGTGAAAAGCCCTGGGCACTGCAGACCTGTGTCCGTGTGTATATTTATTTATGAGCTGAAGTTTAAAACATGGCTGATATTAACAGGCAGCTCGATAAGTAGTATCAATTATGAATATTCTGATTCTGATAGCTATTAATTTTGCATATAGGCACAATTGACAATTTTAAAACTTTATCTTGATTAAAGATTTCTCCTTCCCTCCCACCTCTTTGTTTCAGTTTGTACTTGCCTAGCTCCTGGAGAGTGCAGGTGGGTTTTGTGACTCAACAAGACACTTCAGCTAATCCATATGCAGTGGAAAAAATTGTATACCATAGAAGTTATAAACCCAAAACAATGGGGAATGACATAGCACTGATGAAGCTGGCAGCACCACTTGCTCTCAATGGTAATTTTCCACCTTTCATTTTTTCTTCCTTTTTTTTTAATTAAAAGATGGGAGGAATTTCAAATAATGCAGACTAGAAAAGCCTCTGACACAGAGATGTGCCTAAATCAGAATGCTGGGGAGAAATCCCAACTCCTCTGAAGTCAGTGCAAAACTCCTAAGGCTATGTCTACACTGCAGGCTTTTTGCACAAGAACAGAAGTTCTTGCGCAAAAACTTGCTGGGTGTCTATACTGCACGCACGTTCTCGCACATGTAAATTTACAGTACAGCGTCAGAAAACAGGGCTTCTTCCGGAAGAGTTATTCCTCTCCCCATGAGGAATAAGCCCTCTTGTGCAAGAGCTTTCCACAAGAGGGCAGTGTAGACAGGCAACATGATTTTCTTGCGCAAGAAACCCCTATGGCTAAAATGGCCATTAGAGCTTTCTTGTGCAAAAGAGCATCCACACTGTCATGGACGCTCTTGTGCAAAAGCACATCTCTTGTGCAAAACAGTTCTTGTGCAAGACACCATCAGTGTAGACGTAACCCTCTTGTCTTCAGTGGGGAACCCCAATGAGTTCTGGGGAAGTTCAGATCCAGTCCACATCCAAACATTGCAGCTCGGGCCTATGTCTAAACTGGGCCTTATATTAGGTAATCCTGAGCCACACTTCTGGAGAAGTTTAGATTTGAATCCAAACTGGATCTGAACTTTAAAGGGCAGGTTCCTTTCTGTTTCAAAGCAGGTGCAAGGCAGAACTGTCTGCTCACATTTTATCATCTCATAAGCCATGACCCAACCTACATTTAAATTAATGGAGAAAGTCCCGCTGATTTCAAAGGGTATTGGATTAGGCTCACAGTATTGCTGGACTAGTCCAAAAATACCTAATACTAGGATATATCCTGTGCTTAATAGATCTAATTCACATGGCTGTAAGTATCATTAAATGACACAAACTTGTCTTTAAAAATATTGGAAATATTTTTAAAGACAAGTTTGTGTCATTTAATGATAACTAGTTTGGAAGAATGAGAATCAATGGTTCAGATAACTAGCTTCCTTCCTCTGTGTGATTTCCCTCTGGAAGTCCATTTATATACTGCTTACAGGGAGTTGGAAATCACACAGAGGGAGGAAGCTAGTTATCTGAACCATTGATTCTTATTCTTCCAAACTAGTTTTTCCATCCCTGATAGAGTGAGTTAGCCTCTCACCAGGTCCAGCTCACAGTTGAGACTACATCCCCCGGCTGAACTAAATTCTGTGAATGTATGGAGGCCTGCAGCAGAGCTGTTAGGAATCCAGTATCCATGTAGCTGACAAAAATGTTGTTGGTTACTCAATTAACTGCTGCTGCTCTGCATGGAAAGGAGCTTGGGAATTTATTGGTGGGCATATTCGCTCAGTCCCAGCTTGTGAGTGCTTGCTCACCAGCTCCCAGAAGACTTTAAATGCAGAACTGCAGCGGGGGCAGCGTCTGGGACCTAGCATGAGCCAGGACTCAGCCAACCTGCCAGTCAGATCGTTAAAAGACTTATTCGCAGAGCCACAGAGGGAGTGGGAAGGCTTGTGTGTCGTTTGTAGCATTAACAAGTAAGCATCCGCTTATCAGTTAATCATTTAACTGGATACACTATTACATCTCTAGTCTGCAGTGCCCAGGGCTTTGAATCTGGCACCTTTCATATATTCAGAGAATTAACATTTCAAATAAAAGTCAAGACAATTAATATAAAGTGATGCATTGAAATTAAAAACAAAACAAACATCACTCTTACTTTCAGATCAGGATGCCAACTTCAACTGACATGCCTGGTGAACCAAAATACAGAAACATTGGTAAAAAGAGCATTTTACAGTTTTCTCCCCATCAAAGAGAGTACCTTTCTTCCTGAGGGTACTTCTACAAATATTGTCAGTTCTCATGTTCATATTTTCTAGTTCCCCAATTGGCTGTTAGAAATTATTTCTCCTCTGTAGTTAAATAAAAATTACATTTCAGGGTTTTATTTCCCAAAATCTCAACGATCATATTTTTAAAAAAAGCAAATTAGTTTAGGATATTATAAAGTTTATCAAAATTCTGCAGTACGTGACCATCTCTGAAATTTACTCACAATATGATTAGAACAACTGGAATGTAGGGAACTTGGAAGATTCCATATTGTGACCAGATGCTTTGCACAAAAGAAAAATGCATGCTGGAAAACTGGACTGTTTGTGAGCCCCTATGTGCCAGTGGTATTTCTACAGAGCCTCCCCCCACCCAGTGACAGTACATTTAAACACGTTGCAGCTGCAAACATACAGTGACACAAAAGTCATCAGTAACTTGCATCAAATAAATTACACAACATTTAATATCCTAATCCTGAAACGATTGAAGGAAGGTAAAAGCACTTGTAGAGCCCTGACAGTTTAGTCAGTAGAGGGCAGTAGTGTGCTCCCATGATTCATATATAAGTTATTAAATATGTACTTTAGCAGGTAAAATTGTATAATACTGGGTTTAGATGCTGGTGTTGATTTCATGCATGAGAGGAGAAACAAGTCTGTGTGTTAGATTGAATTACATTGCATGTGTAACCCTTCTGCCAGGTGGCGGTGGAAGCAACCAGGGCCGGGTTCAATGTCTAGGGGCTCCTTTTAAACAATACAACACAGAACCAGCTCAGCCCCTTCTCCCCCCACTTAGTAACCTGGGAACATGACACTAGGGATATTAAGAAGCAGGTAGTTGGCTAATTGTGTAGTCGATACAATTTGTATCAACTACACAAGTAGTCGATAAGGGAATGGCTCTGTCCCAGCTCACGCCAGCTCCAGAAGCTACCCCTGCTGCGGCTCTGCAGTTTAAATGTAGTAGGAGCTAGGTGCATAGACAGCCTGGCTCCTACTATAATTAAACTGCAGAGCCATAGCAGGGGTAGCTCCTGGAGCTGGGACTGAGCAGTCCTGGCTTGCACCAGCTCTGGGACTGCTGCAGCTCTGCCTTCCTTGCCCCCCCATCCACGCACGGTGGAGATGGTGCTGTGGGGAACCGGCTTTTAAGCCAGCTCCCCCCAGCAAGGGCTCCTGCTTCTCCCGCCTTGTTTAATGTGGTCCTTCCAGATCAGGGTGACCTGCTACATGTAGTTCTCCATAATGACTTGACTACCTGATAAGCCTACTCAACTAGTCGCTTCCATCCCTAAATTACACACCACCCCCTGGTGCCTCTGTGATGCAATATTTTCCCATTCACAAGCACAGGGTCTGAATGTAGAAAAGAACGTTTTAGTGAAAGGAGAAAAGTCACTAAACATCGATTAGGGAACATGCCACAAAAGCAGGATTCACAACCATAGAACTGTGAGCAGGACACCCACCCCAGAGTGCATGGGGCAGAGTCTTCTGCCTCATGTTCATCAGTTCTGCAACCTAGAGTTCCTTTACTGGGTCTCCCTCTGCTCCCTCACCGCACCACACTCCACTCACAGTGGCTGGCCTTGTTCAGAAAGGAAACAGGGTTAGAGGAGTATCTGTGTGAGTTCAACTCCCAGCCAGGGAAGAAATATGCCATCTCAGCACTGGCTCTGGCTAGCCACTCCGCTAGCTTCTGTTCCTTGCTGCCTGCTCACTCCCGCTGGCCAACTGGTCGTCACTTTTGCTGGCTGCCCATCAGTCACCTTCTGTTGCCACCTGCCTTTCTGTTGTGACCTTAGTAGGACAGTCTCAGTGATTTTTAGCTTTTAGCAGGCAGGAAAGAAATACTGCTTCAGCACACGTGATTTCAGCTCTTACTGAGAACTTAAAATAACAAAAGGCTCGTAATGAGACATCTTTAGCTCTGTCTTTGAACATAGGGGAGGAACAGGTTAAACCAGTCCAGGAACCTCTAGGGAGAGTCCAGACCTCCTGGCTGGGTCACCTGTCCCCACCCCTCTCTGCTTTCATGGGGATTTGGCATTCGAGCCCTAGCTTAACGTGGTCCTTCCAGCTCAGGGTGACTCCCTCATGTGGGACATGCTAAGCATAGTTCTGCTTCCCTTTACTCAGACAATGAAGACAAAAACGCTGATACCAACATTTTACTACCCCTGTCTTCAGTACTAAAGTGATTTGTAACCCAATACCAGATAGAGCTGATCACGTGGAACTACACAGCTCCTGTCTGTTAAATGAATACATTTACGCTACATATGGATCTAAATACGGTTTGCTCCTGAAGTCACTCCTCCTCCCGAACTAACTGACAGAGGAGAATTCAGGCAGACCCTCCATATACAAGTTTACCTTGAGACCAATATTGAAGCCCTTACACATGCTTAAAATTCTTACTGAAGTAAAGACTGGTTAAAAATAATCTTAATAACAAACCCTTGCAGATCTGGCTTCATGGCAACTTTAGAGTGGTTCCTCTCAGATACCCATTTAGTGCAGCTTCAGCTTTTCTGAAGTTACATTTTCTTATTGTAAATATTTCAAGACCTATCTTCCACTGGTGTAAACTCATTTACACCAGGTGAGTATCTGAGCCAATTATTTTATATGTAATAATAGTACAAAGCACTTACATACCACTTTTTATACGTAGATCTCAAAGGATTTTTACAAAGGAGGTCAGTAATCAGATGTATAAAATAAAACATGCACACAAATAACCACACCCCCGTGTAGGTCTTCCTCTGTGCATTTTAAGAGCAATTGTTTCTTTTTAAATAGGCCTGATAGAACCAATTTGTCTGCCTAATTTTGGTGAACATTTTCCAGAAGGGAAAATGTGCTGGATATCAGGATGGGGAGCTACAGCAGAAGGAGGTGGGTATTTTTAATGTCCATTCTAAATTAGATGCACTAAAAAAAGTCATGTGGTGTAAGCATAGTGTTTGGCAGTTTCAGTATGCAGCATTAAATCTTCAGAAAAACCTGGAAAATAAAGCTAATTCTATGTACGTGAATAATCTAATAATCTAGGATAAACTTCACCCATGTACAGAAGGACAAACAAGGCCTAATCAACATTTAAAGCCTCCAATTAGGTCTATGCATTTCATCTCTAGCAAATACCACCCAGAGTAATTTATCTAAATTTACCTAATTCGATTGATTTCGTTGTTTATAACCTCAAGTAGAGGAAGTACACATGATTCCATGAACCAAATGCACATTGTCTACACTGATGTACATTAGAGCTTGCTGAATAATAAAGAAAACATATGTGAACAAGAGTTCACTTTACTATGAAACGTGGAGGTCATCATTTTCATCAACCATATCATAAAAGTGAAAGTTTTTGAATTGTCATTTACATTGGAAGGGCCATGGTGATAGGGGTCTTAGAAAAATCAACAGAAGCGAGAGAGGCAACCAACCCCAGAGGGTGAACAGCGAATAGACAATAGGTCAAAGCAAAAAGTGTGTGAGCAAACTATATTTTTGATACAATTCATCCAAACAATTTGATCAATAGTTACAAATTATGATTCCACTCAAAGAAAATCAGGCTTAATTTGTAAACAATTTGCTAACTAAATGGGGAGGGGGCCTGCATTAACAAGTATTGTTTGTAATGAGTAGTTTGACCAGCTCTAAATTCTTTCCATCATCATTAGTTGCCAAGTTGTAGAATCACATAATGCACAACAATCAAAGCTCTATGACGTAGCTCATTATTGGGTAATGTAGGCAAGTGACAGGATGTCTAGATTTCCTGTTTGTTTATTATCATGTTAAAGTTAAAGCATATTCTTTTATCTTTGCTTTCCCAATTCTTCATATCCTTAAGCCTTTCTTCTTTACTGCAGGGGATTGGTTTCAAGGAAATAACAGCACTGTAAAACTGTAGGACTTTAAAAAAGAAATAATTATCTATGTTTTTAAACAGGTGATACATCAGAGACCATGAATTTTGCTGGTGTTCCTTTGATTTCTAATAAGGTTTGCAACCACAGGGACATCTATGGGGGAATCATAACTTCTTCAATGCTCTGTGCAGGTTATTTAAAGGGAGGTGTGGACACCTGCCAGGTATGGATATTTCTTAACAACAATTGAACTGATTAACATTGTTTGTAAAAATCAGAGTAATGCATTATCAGGAAACAACACCCAGCCTTTTCCTCAGCAAATATTTGTAGATATTTACTGTGTATGTATACCAGATACTGTGACTACTTGCATTCAGAAAGTATGACTCCCTTCCTTCCTTTAATCTGTGCACTTTATCAGCAACTGCAGAAGGTACATTTACAGTTCTCTAAAGAAATAAGTACTTAACATAAGTTCAGACTTCTTTTATGTGCTTAAGTGTGATACCACCCATTTTCTGCTCTGCTCACAGCCTCTAATAAGGGGAAGAGGTCTCACTTAAGCCAGCTCTTAAGACTTGCAAGGGCAGAAATCCCATGATAAACATTCAGCAACCAGTGCATTATGCTTTGCTGTCTGACTTTAGTGAGAAATGGAAGTGTGTAAATCTGGAAGAGAACTAGATTTGGAAAGACTAAAACTAGAAAATGCTTAGGTCTGGTAATGAATTGTGAAGTCTCTCACAATATCTATAAATCACTGGTTCAAATCCAGCCCAGGTTAGTGATGGAAAGTCATTAATTATTTGTATTTTGGGAGCACTCACAGGACCAAAGAATTACAAAATAGATTTATCAGAGTGCCACTACACGGTCAGTGATAAGAGGGTTACCAAAAACTTTGTTGGCACAGTAAAATCACAAGTAATGGACAGACACTGAACATCCAGCCAGGCCATCTTCAGGACCTACCTACTATTTGATCAGGGTGGCCTTTGATCTGCCAGGAGGTTACATCCCTTTGATATGATGATAATGATGAGCACCCCCAACGTACTAAGTGTTGTCTAAATGCAGAGTAATACCAGTAATATTGCCCTGCTCTCAGAAGCTCACCAATGGAGGACGAGGAAGAGGGATAAAATACATCAATTTATTAGCCCTGCTGTTTGCATTGAATGTTCGTGTTTGGAAGTGGTATCCCCAGACATAAAAGGCCTACTGAGAGTGTTGAATTAAATAGAGAAAGAGATGGGCTTAATAGATATGAGATAATTAGAGGGCCTTCAAGTACTGTCATCACTGATGATCCATGGATATACTAGTACCACCGGAATTTGACTATTCCCATCTATTATTCTGTATTCATACAGTACATAGCGGCTGTGTCTACACTGGCAAGTTATTCCGGAAAATCAGCCGCTTTTCCGGAAAAACTTGCCAGCTGTCTGCACTGGCCGCTTGAATTTCCAGAAAAGCACTGACGATCTCATGTAAAATCATCAGTGCTTTTCTGGAAAAACTATGCTGCTCCTGTTCGGGCAAAAGTCTTTTTCCAGAAAACTGTTCCGGAAAAGGGCCAGTGTAGACAGCACAGTAGCGTTTTCCGCAAAAAAGCCCCAATCGCGAAAATGACCATCAGGGCTTTTTTGCGGAAAAGCGCGTCTAGATTTGCCACGGATGCTTTTCCGGAAAAAGTGCTTTTCCGGAAAAGCATCCTGCCAATCTAGACACGCTTTTCCAAAAATACTTTTAACGGAAAACTTTTCCGTTAAAAGCATTTCCGGAAAATCATGCCAGTGTAGACGTAGCCAGCAGGTATAGCAATGCAATATAATAAATGGCATCTCCAGTAGTGAATCTTTCATGATGGGTCCTCTTGGGCCACAACATACCCACATATAAATTGATATTTGTGGATTTCCCATGAGCAGTTAGGAAAAGCAGATACCCACTCCTTATACATCTCTAAATAGATTCGTTGTCCATATATCCCAAAGAATCCTCAAGTAATATTTGTTCCAACATTATAAAGACCCCAATTTGGGGGGTTATATTCAGGACTTCTACTTCTCAGACCATTAAACAATGAGAAAATCATGGGCAAATAGTGTCCCACAATTATAGGAACATTGAACAGTGCTGATGTTTGTTCTGGGAGATTTTAATTTGACTATTGCATGTAGTATGATTGAGTAAAGCTAAACAAAAATCAGAATTGCCATCCCATGAGAAATTCTGATATTTCAATATTTGTTTTTATTTTGAATTGCAACAATAAGATAAAATATACAAATTTTACACAGAACAAAAAGTTCTGAAAAATTTTGATTTGGAACTTTCAATATTTTACATCAAAACAAAATATATCAGTGTTTCCAAATAGAAATGTTATAGTTTGGTTTGTTGAATTGACCCAAAATACTTCTTTCAAGTCAGTTCACCATTAAACTACTTTTTCCTATTATGGTACATTTGCTTATGGGTTCAGGTTACCAAATGGCTCCATTCTTCTCTATGTACCAAGCTCCCTGGCCTGACTACATTATTCTTAGGGCTCCTTAAGTTATGTGACTCTCATCATGCACTATGTTGCGCAGTGAGAACACCATTGCATTATAGGAGATGTAGTCCAGCCAGGGAGCACAGCCCAGAAGACTGAATGGGGACCAGAATGACAACTCCCATGAGGCAATGCACCACAAAAGGGAAATGCAGTTCAAAGCTAGACTGACTCTAAATAAAGATTGTTTAACACGGGGTTTATTCAACAACTCAAAATATTCGAATTCAAATAGAACCAATCAAAAACTAAAGATTTCATTTTGTTTTCCCTAATGAAACAATTCAATAAAATAAAAATTTTCCCTAGGAAAATTTTGATTTTGTGGAAACTGCATTTTAAGTCAGAAAATCACTCCCATGGACAATTCCCTAACAATTGTAACACTTACTACATCTTTGCACATATGAATGAGAATTGGCAGATAACACTTTTTCACAGCAAAGAGAGAAAGTATTTCATGTCTACTCCATAGAAAAGTTACTCATTTGTGAAAGTCAAAGTCCCTATAAGTGGGGTTTTTTTTTTCATAAGATTCAGAAGGGAGAGAGATTAAGAAACTCTTACCAGTGGTATTTGCTATACTCCAGAATAAATAATCCCTCATATTTTGCAGGGGGAGGGAGGAGATGCTGACCATTTGTTTGATTTCTTTGGTCTCTCAGGGAGATAGCGGGGGACCCTTAGCATGCAAAGATATGAACACCTGGAAACTGGTAGGAACTACCAGCTTTGGGATGGGCTGTGCAGAAGTAAATAAACCAGGAGTCTACAGTCGTACCACCTCATTTCTTGACTGGATACATGAACAAATGGAGGTTTGTTTTCCCCCTTCCATCTTTTGCCTGATAATCAGAGTTTGCTCTTACTTCAAGTCTGTCCATTAATCAGAACGAGAGGGCTCCAACAATGCCTATACAGTCAAGTATTGCTGTCTTACTGGGACAGTCAACATTTTAGTTGTCTCTGGGAGACCCAAGGAGAACAGAAGGGATAACCGCTTAGGATGACAACCAGCCAGCTGATGAAGTGAAGAGGCTTTATTTCTCAAAAAGAAAAATAAGCATTAGCAATAAAGTATCTATTTCATTTTTATAATTGTTTATCATATGTACAATATTTCAGCAGTCATTTACTGTCCCATGTGGATTAAAGCAATCATGTGACTTTAGAATCATTTCACAGAACAGTAAGATGAATATTTTAAAACTTTTACTTTTTAGAGAGAAGAACTGTGAATCTGAAGATAGCATTGATTCACTGAACTTTTGAAACTGGATTCAAATTCCTGCTCCACAGAATCATGTACCCCATCCCATGGACTCTTAGGCTGTGTTTTATATTAACAGCAATTACTTTCTATCATCTCTTCACTCAAACTCATAACTTACTGTATGTAATGAAAAGAGCAATGGTCGTTTCTGGTTTCATTCAGCCCCTTTCAGAGGTAAAAGCAAGGAGGATTCACGATGATGTGTATGTATGTGTTTTGGCACCTATACATCTCATGTAAAGAAAAAGCTGCAAGAAAACTGATAATAGAGTGCTATATTGACTTGGGTGATACTAGCTAAAGATTATAGAGGAGGAAATTTAAAATAGTGACTGTTTTTATACTTTCTTTCCAGGGATCAGAGTACAAGAAATTTATTCTCTTCCTTGATCTGTGCATATTTAAGACTCATAATCCACTTCCCAGATATTATCAAACTGTTTTGTTAACTAAATTAATAGAAACAAATATATGATGATTTTTCAAGTATGCTCTGTTCTCGTTATTAAGAGAGATTTAGCCCAGATCCACTTGCATCTTGCTGAAAATATACCTTAGTGTGACTCAGGGATTTCATGACATAGTAAATGATTGGCTCTGAAACTGGCAAAACATAGCTTTGAATTTTATTCTTAAATTCTGAGACTGTCTTAAAGATACTCAGAGGGGTAGCCTTATGAGTCTGTACCTTTAAAAACAATGAGTAGTCCGGTGGCACCTTAGGCCATGTCTAGACTGCCACGCTTTTCTGGAATATTTCTGGTATTCCTGAAAAACAATGCTGTGTCCAAGGAACGTGTCCGCTTTTTGGAAAAAAAATTCAGAAAAGTGGACGCGTTCTTTCACCATACCTGTAAACCTCATTCTACGAGGCGTAAGGGATCTGTCGAAAGAGCAGATTTTTCCAAAATTTGGTGCTGTGTAGACCTGCCAAATTTCAGAAAAGCCTCTTTCGAAAGAAAAGCGGAAACAGATACACAAATTGCGGTTCAAACAAACGAATTGCAGTTCTAACAAAAATATATATGGTATCATGAGCTTTCATGGGTAAAACTCACTTCTTCAGATGAGCTCATCTGATGAAATGGGTTTTGCCCATGAAAGCTCATGATAGATACTGTGTGTCTTTTTATTAGTCTCTAAGGTGCCACCAGACTATTGGTCCTAAAGATTGTTTATCAGTCTCCTTTTTATTGCTTTTGCATGGGTTACAGAATGAAACACATGTCGATACAACTAAAAGATGCCATACAGCATGATAGCATCGCATACACTGTAACATAATATGGTATAGAACCACAGAAATGTATGACTGGAAGAGACCTTAAAGATCATCTAATACATCCTGCTGCAGAGGTAGAGCCAAGCAAACCTACACCACTTATGACCATCTATAAGTATATCCAATGTTTCAAACTCATAATATATATAAAAATGACACAATATAGCTCAGAAAAGCTGTCTTCAGAGAAAACAGTAGGTTTTGCATTGTTTGTGCCTGTCACATGAATTCTGCATGAATTGCTCACACGAAGACAACCACCTTATAATGGGGAAAGGCATCTTACGTGCTGCTGTGGTTTCCTGGCTTGCAACCTATTAATATAGCTGCCTCTTGTGGGTATGTTACAAAATACTCAGTATTTATATCTACTCTTCTAAAATAAGAAACACCTAGTTTTATGAAAGCAGCTGTGGGGTGGCTGGATAGTTCAAGCAATTGATAATGGTACACAGAACTTTTAGCCACCAATTCAAAGTGGGTCCAAGCTGCTATCACCATTTGATGGCTTGCAATGAGGTCTGGATAGTTAAGTTGCCAGCGGATAGACATCCACATCACAGAAATAGGGATATAAGCAACTAGTCGACTATCTGATAAGCAAAAGCTTATCGGATAGTCAACTAGTCCCTCCAAGTAGCTTCTCCCACCTCTGCGTGCTGCCTCTATTAGAGGCAACAAGGGAAAGGGGAGCAGGATCCAGTGCTGGGGGGAAGCAGTTTAAAAGCTGGTTCCTCCCCCTCAGCACCATCTCCAAGAGGCACAGGAGAGGCAGGGGGTAGCAGGGACCGGGAGCAAGCCAGGAATTAGCTGATTCCCAGCTCACACCCAGTCCTGCTGTCTCTTAATACATTTAAGACCCTGGTGGCTCTTAATACATTTAAAAATCAGAAGCACAGCAGAGGGGACCCAGTGCGAGCTGGAACAGCTGATTCCTAGCTCACGCCGGGTCTCCCTGCTGCACACCAACCTTTAAAATGTATTAAGAGCGGACAGGCTCTTAATACATTTAAAAGGCTGAAGCACAGTCAGGGAAACTCTGCATGAGCCGGAACAGCTGATTCCCAGCTTGCACTGGGTCTCCTCCCCTGCACTTTAGCATTTTAACTGTAGTAAGAGCTTGCCGGCTCTTAATACATTTAAAAGGCAGAGCCACAGCGAGGTTAGCTCCTGGGACTGGGAGCTAACCCTTCTGCAGCTTCCCCGCTTATTGACTAATTGACTAGTGGATGGAAAATCCAAAATTCAACTTTAATCTCCATTTTCATGTCAATCCTTCTTGACCGTCTCAACAGAGAATTATCCTATTACCTGTGGAGATCAGCTGAAAGTTGAGAAATAATTCCTGTAAAACCATTCTTAATTCCTAAATCAGATTATTTCATAAATAATCATTGTATTTTTCCTTTACATTTTAAAAAAATATACAAATGCAAAGTTCAGATGACAATCCTTGAAAGAGAAAGTGAGGTGTAAAGAAGAAAGAAAATATAAGGGGGGAAATAAGCGGGACGGGGGATAGCCTGAGAAAAAGACTTCAGGATATAGTCTAATAATTCTAGTGAGTGAAAATTCTCCAGTAGGTAATTGAATTTTTATCCTCTACATTTGGGCAATTATGGTCTTGTAGTTAATGTCTAATTTTCTGGATGTTTTTAGGTTAATAGTGTACATGTGTAAAACATTTAAATACCATACTGGCATGTTTTCAATTCTTGCCTGTGGCCATGACTTCTATTCTTCAACCAATGGCTATTTGAAAAATATGTACAACCCTCCCCACACCAAAAATAAATAAATAAATAAATAAAGGAAGGAAGGAAGGTTGCGAGGATGAAGGGGGGTGAGGAGGCTTCAGTTTAATTAGGTTTTTCTTTATAATTCTTTGAGAAGTGCTTCAGTGTTTGACAATCCTTGCACTAAAGCCATGCATATTTTTAACATTATTAAACAAGCTGCTTACCTGATTAAACCAATTAAAAATTTGCAAACTCAGGTCACAATTATAAGAACGGGGAGCAACACAGGATTACATTGTAAAATATCCCTTAGCCACATGGCACGTGATGTGACATGCCATGGGCAAGATGACACAGACAGCAACACCTTACAAAAAAGCTACCGTCTCAGCAAACAGATTAGTGATTTTAGACTTAAATGTGTGGCATGTTTCAAAAAACCCTTTGCCATCATCAGTGAATGGCAGAAGAGGAGCACAGAGAGACTTCATTGAAGTGAAGGAGGCAAAGTTTAAAATGCGCTACCATGATCCAGTAATTACAAAGTGAAAAATTGCAGAGTTGGTGCTTGGGGCAGTGGCAGTACATGGAAACCCATCACCCATCAGGGCGTTTTGGGGAGTGGCACGGAGCAAGGGCAGGGTTAGCCCTGCTATGATGGCTGGGGGGTCCCAGGCCCTTTTAAATTGCCTGGGCCACTGGGCAATTGCCCCCTTCATTCCTTGGAAGGGCTGAGAGAGCTGAAACTGACCTGCATAAAAGTGAGTGCAACAAGGGAGTAGTTTGAACTGGGACACCACGTGTGCCTCTCAGCAAACTTATGGGATTTAACTGTTGTGTTGCTGACTAGTGCCTCGGAGTAGCATTTGGGTGCAGTCTAATCATCAAGAGACTTGCTGTTTCCAGTACGTCTATTGAAAGCCCATCTTCTGTAGGTGTATCTTTGGAAGCATTTACAATGCACATATTGGATTTCTTGTTTTCAAGGTAGAACAGGCCCATAGCAAGGAAAGCAGTATCTCACTTACATGCAACTGAAATCTGAGCGATTACACACAGCACAGGAAGACGCAAGCCAAAATTGTCTGGTAGGTACAAAGGAGCTTTAAGGCAGGCTTACCACCAGTGTTCCTTGACTTTGATCTGAAGAGACACACCCAACATTCAACTTTATTCTCCATTTTCATGCCATGTAGGCTGCAGATGCAACTGCTAGGTAGTTGTTGCTGGGATTTTTTAATGTTTGCTTTGTCTCGTAGTTTTCTTGGCTGTTAGATGCCAGTCTCAGTGACTGAATGAAAATACACTTTTGCTAATTTGGAAATCAGCTAGCAAGTGACTTTAATCAGCATGCTTCCACACCTCATATAAGCGAGATAAAATACAGTCTCACAGATTGCTCAAAAAAATGGAGATCTGCCCTTGGATCAGATCTAACTGTCACTGAAGTCAATGGAAAGGTTCCTACTGATTTAAAAGGATCTGAACCCTCGTCTTTAAAAAGTGTTTTGGAAATGTATCATGCTGTTCGACATACAAAGTTATTATGAATCATCAACAAAATGAGCAGTTAATTCCAGGATACTTACTGTATGCTTTTACAAAGCACATATTATATATTCCTTCAGTGTTGAAAACATTAACATCATGAAAATAACTTTGAAAGAAAATTAGGAGGTTTTGATGCAAGACCAGAGCAAGTTAATTATAGCAGAAGAGTAAGCAAATCTTAACTAGGTGCAGTTTTATAATATTTGGGGTCTGATTCTGCCACCTGTACTTATGTCAAGAACCACACTCACTGACTGGATCACTTGCAGAGTATGGAACAGCTCACTGTGTAGAGAATGATGTGTTTCTAGCTACTGCGAGGCAGCGGTGGCATTTCTGCTTTGAACTTAGAATTAATTTGCTTGTGTGGGTATAATGGTAGGTGCTGTGATGCTGTGTAAATATATGCTCCATGGAGAACTTGCAGGGTAAAGATGAGATGCAGTATATGAATGTGGAAATAGGAGGGTAACAGTAACAAAGCCTTGCAGTTACACGGGCTCAGAGTACAAATAACTTCAAGGTCTGATTAATTACTTTTGTGAAAAATTTCCCATTGCACCATCATTTCCTGCCCCTCTCCTCCCCCCGTCAAAAAATTGTTAGCCTCTTTCCTCCCAAGCATTCTTCACTCCAGGGATGGGGAACCTAAGACCCTGGGGCTAGATGCAGTCCCGGCTTTTCTGGATCCAGCCCCCGAGGCTCAGGGCTCCCCGCCCCCCCAGCACTGCGGAGTCCATGCTGGTGCTCCAGCCTCCCCCCAGCCATCCTCCACAGG